CTTGCTCATGTGCCTTGGTCTGTCCACAGACTGCACCTCACTGGAAGCACCCTTGGGAGGCGGTCATGGGTATAAGTTTGAAGAGTGGCGGGGCTTGCAGTTAGGATTGTAGCTGCAGTTGTTAGGTGGGTTAGGTTTTTCAATGAAGGCACGGAATACTTCTCTGGCAGATATGTCTGTGGCACATGAAATTGAGATTGATGTGGACAGAACCCGAAGCATCGGGAGGGACGGATGGCTTCATTGCATTTTAAGATCTTCCAAGGGCTTGTGGGCCGCGGGTTGGTCGGGATTGTAGGGCATGTTCAAGAGATCCCAAGTGGGGAAAGGTTGGCGGACCTAGAGAGGAATGCACCGCGTGCCATGAAGGACCACAGAGAGCCGGCAGGGGTCACAGAGGTCTGCCTGGCTAGCGGGCAGGCAGATGCGCTTAACATGGCCTACCTTCTCACCTCTGCTTGAGGGAGCTACACACTTTTATAAGTCATGCCAATGAATATGTATCTTACTTGCTTTTCTGTTGGTAATAAAGCAGGCAATTCATGGGAGTTGGGGGATGCTTACAGTTCCAGAGGGATAAAGGTCCTCACCATTGTGGTGAAGAAGCACAGCACGGCAGCAGGCGTGGAACAAGCAAGCTGAAAGCTCATGTCTTAATCCGCAAGTAGGAAGCAAAGAGTGGCCTGTGGCTTTGACTCCTCCAAGCACCGACCAGGGACACACTTCCTCCAGCAAGGCCACCCTTCCTTACCTACTCAAACAGTGCCACACCTGGGAACCAAGCTCTCAGGTGAGAGCCTGGGGGATGTCTCAGTCAACCACCACAGTAGCTGAGCCTTGAACGTCTGCCATGGGTCAAGCCTGGTGCCTGTGCAGGCCAGGTGAGATTTTGTCTTAAGACCCTGAGCCCCCTTTTGTAGTGGTGACAGTGTGGGCAGCCGTGAGAGAGATGGGGTACTGTGTCATGAGAAGATGGGAGCCGGAGTGTGGGGTAGGGTGGCCGGAAGAGAAGGTTCCGTCAGTGTAGTGTGTGAATGGGCATGGCCCGAGTCTGGCTGGACCGCATCAGGCAGCGAGTGTGATGTTTGGGTCTGGATGCTGCTGTGCTGTAGCTCTGTGGTCTGCGACAGGGGAACTGTTTATGCTCCTGACTCTATTCCAGTCCTAGGGGACTGAACCCAGGGCTGCAGGCATGCCGGGCAAGCAAGCTGTAGCCCTGAGCCCCAGCCCTTCCTAACCAGCTAAGCCAGCTTTCTTGTGTGTGAAATGGAGGTGCACAGAATGTCATCAGAATGTTAGCTCTAAGTAGGAGATGAAGGTCGACCCTGTGGTGGGAAGATTGGTTTTTAAGCAGCTCTCCTAACCACAGAGGTCTGCCCAGGCTCATGGACCAGGAATGGAGAGGGCCTGGGAGCTGGGACTCCCTGAGTTCAGTTCCCAGGGCCCCACAGAGTGGAAGGAGCGAAGTACAGCAAGGTGTCCCTGGCCCCCGCACATGCATTTCGCATGCACACGCCCTGCCCCGTGAAAAGTAAGAAAATAAGTGACAGAGGCAGGAAGTAGCAAACAAAGGCAGGGTTTTTATTTATTTTTGTCTTCCAGTGAATTCAGATGTGAGCCTCCTGACGTCAGGCCACACAGGACTCCTGAATAGAAATGCCTGGGGCGACTGTCAGAGTTGGGTGGGTGTGAGCAGGGAGCCTTGGGTGGTTACTGAAGGTGGGAAGGATGAGAAAAGAGGCAAACAGCCAGCACGTGAGGAGTTGTGTGTGGCACCCAGGGTCTGGGGCTTGGGGATTTCCAGGTCATGGTAGCCACAGAGTGGAGTGGGCGTGGGCAGGGCTGTAGACCATGGGCCACTGTGGGTTTTGTTTGTTTTACGTCACATCCCTGCCGCCAGCAGATGCAGAAATAACCGTTTGTTGTTTGGCCGTAGTAAGTTTCAGATGTGCAATTTATCAAGGGTAGGTTGGGGAGTCTAAGTTTTCACAGTCTCTAGTTTTAAGCTCAGATCCATCAGATGGGGAGCTGGGAGAACCGTGGCGGGGACCTCTGCTGTGTGTGACTATCCCATGGCGGGGCCACTCCCATCCTGCTGTTCGGGCAGCCAAGGGCAGCACAGGTGGCCGTGTGAGGCTGCGTCTGGAAAGCTTAGGAGTTGTCTGCTGCGCCGTGCCTTCCTTCCACTGATCTGGGCGACTTGACTGCTAAACCAGGGAATTTTCTACTTGGGTTTAAGTGGAGAGTTTGGGGGTTTTGGTTGAGTTTGGTTTTGGTTTTTCAAGACAGGGTTTACTGTGTTGCCCTGGCTCTCCTGGACCTCCATTTGTAGACCAGGCTGGCCTTGAACTCACAGAGATCGCCTTGCCTCTGCCTCTGCCTCTCGAGTGCTGGGATTAAAGGCATGCACCACCACTATCTGATAGAGGCTTTTTGTTTTTTAACTAAAAAATGTTGTGTGTCGTGTATGTGTGTACACAGATATGGAGGCACAAGGGTAGTGTCGGGTGTCCTCTGTCATTGTCCACTTCATCATCTGTTTGCTTGTTTGTCTATTTAATTGAGACACCTTCACAGAAACTAAAGCTTGCTGATTGCCAAGTGTGCCCAGCTTGTCCACAGGCTCTGGGGATCTGAACTCAGGTCCTCACACTTGTGCGACAAGCACTTTAGGCACTGAGCCATGTACCCCAGTGCCCAAGTAGAAGTTTAAGAAAAATGCTGACGTGTGCATTTGTGTTTATGTGTGTGTGCGTGCTCGCATGCACACATACAGTATGCAAGCGCAGGTTTGTGTGCACATGTATCTGCATGCCAGGAAGTCCAGAGTTCCTCCTCTTTCTGCCTCCCCAGTGCTAGGACTACACGTGTGCTCTGGCTCTTTTATGGGAGTGCTGGGGATGGAACATGGCTCCTCATGCTAACAAGGCCAGCACTCTGCCAGCTGAGCCGTATCTCCTGCCCCAAAGTACCATGTCATGGTTAGCTTTTCAAGGAGAAACACACGCACACACCATGGCCTCCGCATCAGCTCCTCCAGGTTCCTGCCCTGCTTGAGCTCCTGTCCTGACTTCCTCTGATGATGAACAGCAATGTGGAAGTGTAACTGAATAAACCCTTTCCTCCCCAAGTTGCTTTGGTCATGGTGTTTCATCACAGCGATAGAAAACCTAACTAAGACACAGACCGTTAGGTTCCACCAATCCCAAAGCTCAGAACACCATCTTGGCTTCTGAAGCCTGCAGCAGGGGGATTACCGGTTTTGCTGTAACCTGCCTCCCTAGTGTGCCCACTAATGTATTTGGTAAATGTACTTATTTATACAAGTTGATGTAGCCACTTCCATGATGGACCATATGGTCAGAGCAGTATGAATCCATGTACCTAGGTCACGATCACTCATGTTTAGGTCAGAATAAAACCCCTTACGCCCCTTGGAGTGAAAGCTGTGGTTTCCAAAGACATCTGGCTCCTTCCCAGAGGCCAGTTCTAACCCACACACAAGGCCCTCACCACCCAGATCTGAGCTGGCAGCACACTCTTGCTTCACCAGCTTCTCTGTCATGACAACAGCACGGTTTATGGGCTGCTGACCCAGGGAAACCTTGGAGCTTCATTTGACCTTTCACCAAACACACGGCTGGTCTGAAAGTCAGCCAGGCCTCCGGAGTCCTTGCCCCGGGGGCTGCACGGCTTTGCATAGTCGGATTGCCTTGGCGCCTTGGCCGAGCGCTCCCAGGCCTCACCTTGGCATTGAGACTGCCCAGCCCACGGTTGACTTCCTGCCTGCCATCCAGGGTTTCAGGCACACGTGGAAGGGAGTGGCATGCACCATGAGCACAAGTCAACAACCTCTCCCTGCGTTTCCAGGCCACGCCAGTGTCCGGGGAACAGCCTTCCTGTTGGTTTCAGCTTCCAAGTCAGGCACCAGGTGCAGCCAGCCAGCCAGCCCCTAGCTCCTCCCTCGTGGGGTCCGCCCTCTCCTTAGGACTCTTTAGTGGGTTTGGCCATGCCCTATCAATGCTGCTTTTAAATTAGTGAAACTAACAGGAGTGCAAGAGTGCAAACACAGCTTGCGTGCTCATGAGGACTTGGCCGCTCAGCGGGGCACAGTATTGTGCCAGCGGTGTGCCAAGCTGAGGTTTATAGGTTTCTTTGTTTACGTAGCCAATATGCTACATGGAATGCTGAGCAGGAAATGTTCCCTGAGGCTTTTGCTTTAAAGATTTATTTTCATTTTTAAATTATGTGTGTGCATATGTATCTGTGATGGGGGCAAGGGGATTGGGGGTTGGGAGTATATGTAATTTTGCTCAATACAGGTCCTTTGCTAGAGCAGTCCATGATTGTAACTTCTGAGCCGCCTCTCCAGTGTCCCCACCCACTAGGTACATTCGAGGATCAGCCCTGTGAATGAGCTCTGTGTTCACGTAGGTGACAGAAGCCTGTAGGCCCCTGATGGAGGGAGTGAGAAGCCCTCTGGGAAGGCGGGGCTGCTCTTCAGCAGGCTGGAAGGGTCTTGAGCTCTGAGGGACTCTGAGTCTGATGGAAATGGCTGGTGCCCCTGGTCCCCAGTATCCTCAGTCTGGGCATGGCAGTGATGGCTGTATGACGGAGTCGGGGCTCCTTGGTGGTCTGAGCTGCGCTCTGCTCTGGCATCTAGCTGTGTAGAAGGTGAGGTCCCTTCTGTGGCATGGTGACATTTCTCCTTGGCATGGGAACCACAGTGTGTTCATTGTCCAACCACAAGGGGCAAGTTTGTCCTGCAGGAGGCAGGCCAGCATGGCAATGGCTCTGACACAGAACACAGCAGCAACCTGTCACCAAGGTTCTGAGGAGCAGCTAGTAAGGGGTGGTCAGCAGGTTTGGGAGCTGTGTGCCTCTGAGGCCAGCACTGGGCTGGGTAGATGCGGGCCAGTGCAGCCAATGTGGTATGCTGTCCCTGGGTAGGGACAGGTGTATGAGACCTGACTATCCTCACTCTAACTTCTGCTCCACAGGCTGGCGCCCATGCGGCTCTACACACTCTCCAAGCGCCACTTTGTCCTCATGTTTGTCGTCTTCTTCATCTGTTTTGGACTGACCGTCTTTGTTGGGATTGAGGGTAAGTCTGTGTTTCAATCATTTTTCCATTTACAGCACTTCGGTTTGGTGCAGCCAGCCCAGCTGTGCCCTCTTGTTCCCAGCCACGCCTCAGAGGGAAGGGACGTGTGCCTTCTCTCTGAGCCCACAGGGCGGAAGGTGGCCATACCCCGCACTTGTCTCTTCTGGAATGGCAGGTAAGCTGGGTCGTGTAGCCATGCTCTTCCCAGGGCCCTAGGTCAGTTTGGTGCCAGTTTCTGCTACCTGCCTTTTATTTGCCATTATTATTATTATTATTATTATTATTATTATTATTATTATTATTACTTTTCTTCTTCCTGCTCCATTCTTCTTCAAATAAGCCAGCCTGGCTTTGAACTTGCTTTGTAGCCCACCCACATATTTCTAGAGTCTTTTGTGCCCTGGGGAATCCAGAACCCACTGTCTAGGGAGGAGACAGGCCATGTAAAGCTCTGGGTGAACAGGACTAGGGTACAAGGAGGCTGAGCTGGTGATATCCCAAGTTCCAGGACAGTGTGAGAACGCTGGGCAGTAGAAGCTGTCGAGAAGAGCCACATCTTAGCAATTGTGGGTTTGCGGGTTTGTGCGTGTGCATCCAGATGTTGATGTCAGATATCTGTGTGTGCGTGCGTGCGTGCGTGCACGTGTCCAGGTGTTAATGTAAGATGTATTTGTCGACGTCAGACACCTATGTGTGTATGCGTGTGTGGGTATGTGTGTGTGTTTGTGTGTATATGCCTGTGTGTATGTGAGTGTGTTGAGGTTGGATGTCTTCCTCTGTTACTCAGCACCTTATATATTGAGTCAGGATCTCTCACTTGATCCCAGAGCTTACAGTTAAGCCAGTCCAGCCAGCTTGCTCTGAGGATGCTGTCTCTGCCTTCTGAGCCTTGGGGTTACAGACAGACCTCAGTGCCTGCTCAGCATTTACTTGGGTGCTGGGGATTTCAGATGCAGTCCCCAGTCCAGCGCCTCACACTCTTTGCCCACTGGCCTGTTTCCCCAGCCCCCAACTTTCTTTTTAATAGTCACAACACAGAACCACAGAGGCTGAGTGTTTTCCCAGGGTTCCAGAGGCCAGGGTCCCCGCTGTCCTGTCCCCACTGACGGCAGCACATACCAGCATTGCTGAGCGTATTCTCCATCTTTTTTTTCTTCTCTTTAAGTAAGATCGTTTGTTCACTGAAGGTAGTCTGTGGTAGCTGTTCCAAGCGAGGGGTGCACGCAACCCCGAATGTGCATGTCATTAAGGCTTAGCTCTATCCCAGAGGTGTTTGTGCCTCAGAAGCTACTTCCTTAACCTCAACTGAAATTTAGCCTCTGAGGGGACAGAGGAGGCCTGAGGTGGGGGCATTGGAATGGTCCTTGCCTTGTGGTAATGAAAATGTCACACTTGTGACCATAGCAGCTATAGCCAGCTGCTTCTTCCTGTTAGGTCACCAAGCGGTTAAAGTTATATTAATCACCAGTTAACAAGGCTACCCAGTATCTCACTTGCATTTCAAACTGTCCTTTCATATTGGTAGGGGAGGCATTAGTGTTGTGTGGGGTCTCAGCAGGACCTTAGCCAGCCTTTGTTTCCTTAGCCACCTGTTTCAAACACCCCACTGTATCCAGCCTGTACTCTGAAATAAAAATGGAAATTGATGCCCCAGGCCAAGATGGGGATGACGTCAGGCTCTCCTTACTGTGTCTCATCGCACAGACTCCTGTGAGTCTAGGAAAGAGACAAAAACAGTAGGGAATACATATGAATGTGTATGCGGGCACCCGCTGTGGTATAATTACATCTCTTACTGTATTCAATGATAATATATATTCATAATTATAATAAATTCAAACAACTCTATATTAAAGTATAAGTGAGTTACAATATAAGTAACTGTTGATATTGTTAGATCTAAATATGTAATATAATTATGAGATAGAGTATATGCTAGATAATACACCATATGCTTCTTACATCTCTGTAAAGTAAAGGAACTGGCTCACATATTCAGGAGGTCTATAGTCGCAAAAGGGAGCCAGGAGAGCCGAGATTGATCATTTGAGCCCCGGTCCAGGTCTGAGCCTCATAGCAGGGAACTGAGTTTCCTGCTGAGGACAGGGAGGCCAGATTCTCCTTCGCATGTCTGTTGAGGCCTTCATCAGGTCAAAGGGGCCTGGGTAGGGCAGTCTGCTTTTTTCAGTCTACTGACTGAACCATGAGAGTCTTATCCAGAAGTTCCCCACAGACACGTGAGAGCGATGTTTAGCCAACACCGTGTCATGCCACCCCGTGCCCGACTGAGATTAGCACATGAATTCAGTACCCTCAATCACTTTATGTGGCAATGCTACTATCGGAGAGTTTGGGGTCATTTAGGAACCTTTGTGTCACTACTTTATTCTGAAGATGTGGAAACGGAGGCCCAGAGCACCTAGTTAGCTTAGAGCCAAGGTTCTTCTGATACCATTCTTTTTTTTTTTTAATTCTGTATTAATTACACTTTATTCACTTTGTATTCCCCCTGTGGTTCCCTCCCTTCTCCCATCTCAATCCCTCCCTTCCTCCACCCTCTGCATGCATGCCCCTCTCCAAGTCTACTGATAGGGGAGGTCTTCTTTTCCTTCCTTCTGATCCTAGTCAATTAGGTCTCATCAGGAGTGGCTGCGTTGTCTTCTTCTGTGGCCTGGTAATGCTGCTTCCCCCTCAGGGGGAGGTAATTAAAGAACAGGCCAATCAGTTCATGTCAGAGACAGTCCCTGTTTCTTTTACAATGGAACACACTTGGATACTGAACTGTCATAGGCTACATCTGTGCAGGGGTCTTAGGTTATCTCCATGCATGGTCCTTGGTTGGAGTATCAATCTCAGGAAAGACCCCTGTGCTTAGATTTTTTTGGTTCTGTTGCTCTCCTTGTGGAGTTCCTGTCCTCTCCAGATCTTACTGTTTCCCACTTCTTTCCTAAGATCCCCTGCACTCTGCCCAAAGGTTGCCCATAAGTCTCAGCATCTGCTTTGATCTGATACCATTCTTAAGTCTTTGCGAGAAGCCAGAGTCAGAGGGCACTTCTCTTGGGAGTCTGCTTGGGAAACAGCGTGCTGTGCAGTGGCCTCTTCCTGTGTGGTGACATCCTCACAGGATGTGCAGGTACCTGTGAGACACGAAGTTTGCTGCTCAAGGGACATACATCACGCCAGTGTAGTCCGAGTTGGATTGTTGGCAGCAAGCTGGGGCAGCCATGGAGGCAGCCCAGAGAATCGGCCTCACAAGCTAAGAGTGTTATTTTTAAATATTTATTTTAAATAGAGTCTTACTGTATTAGTATTAGCTGGCTAGCCTAAAACTCCCTATGTAGACCAGGCTGGCCAGAATTCAGAGATCCACTTGCCTCTGCTTCCCGCCATCATACCTGGCAAGAATAATATGTTTTAGACAAATCTGGCTGTAAATTAATTTTAAAATTAATCACTTAAGACCGAAGCCCTGAAGTCTCACTGAAAGAACGGTGAGAGTCAGAGGCTAGAAGGATTCTGGGAAGGTGGCAGAGTAGAAAGAATGTGCCTCCACATCTACACCGTCAGTCACAGCAGCAGAATCCGACTGATGAGTTTGGGATCCTGAGGTCTGGGGGACATTTTTAACTTCCTGGGGGTGGGCAGCAGGATATTAAATTGTGGCTGGTTTTAGCCGGCACAGCCCCTGACCACAGTGGCAGGCCCTCATACCCATGCTGGTTCTAAAGCAGACCGCCTTGGCTCATGTTCTGAATCGGTGTGCACATGGCTTGTAGGAGCCAAGGTGCACAAAGGGACAAATCTCCCCTGACTGGGGACCTGTGCTTCTGATCACAGAGACATACAAGGCCAGGTGGCCATTGTTGATGGGTGTGCTCGGGACTGCCAGTATTGTAACCCTACCTCATCTGGCAGAGACTACCAGGGAGCTTAAAGAGCTAGGCCTTCTCCTCAGCTGCTCTTCAGCATAGCAGTCTACAGTAGCAGCAGCCAGCCAGGCACGAATAAAACGTCTGAGGAGTGCGGAGACCCTGACTTCCAGGGGGCCACGGGATTATATTTAAAGACAAAGCCAACTGAAAAATACTAAAGTATGGCTCATCAAAAGAAAGAAAAATACATCAAACTCAGTCCCTGGAACCATGTAAGAGATCTGCTAGACAAAGGCTTCAGTAGCCGTATTAAAGAATAAGAGGAAGGTGTGGAAAGAGCCAGAGGGCAAAGCATGACCATAGTGGGGATGCTGGGAAAGTGAGAGAAACCAGAAGGAAAATCTGGAGCTAAAAAGTACTATAGTTAAATTGAAAAATTCACTGGAAGGATAAAAGCAGATTGGAACAGGTAAAGGGAACAAACAGCTACAAACCTGAAGATAGAATGATGGGTGTGTTTGAGTCTGAGGAGCAGAATGGAAAATGATCAGAGATAATGAATAGAGCCTGTGAGGCCCTTGGGCCACCATCGAGTAAAGGAAACACACATTGTGAGAGACTTGGGAGAAGAGAAGAGGCAGGGAGAAGAGCTCCCAAACTTGATGAAACGTGTGTATATATACATCCAGAAAGTTTAATGCGCTCAAATGCTCTAAGCTCAGTCTCATGCCAAGACAGTATGGCTGAACTGTAGGAAGCCTAGACCAGACAGACCCTCACTGCAGGCAGGAGATCTTCAGAGAGGTTACCAGCATTGTCTCCTCCAAATTGTACAGGGCAGAAGACGGACTGATGTAGTTAAAATGCTGAAAGAGTTTTCAATCAGGAATCCTGCCTGCAAGGAAATGTCCTTCAGAAGTGGGGCTGGGTTGGAGGGAGGGGGTTGAGTGTGGTGGCACATGCCCACATTTCTAGAGCTTGGATGTCTGAGACAGGAGGATTGATTTGTGTGTATGAGATTAAGGCTACATGGTGAGACCCAGTCTCTAGATGAGAAAGTAGGGGTGAAAAGTAAGATGTTCCCAGGTAAACTGAGGCCGAGGGAGTAGTTGCTACTCAGCGTTGCTGCAGGTTACTGAAACGTGTGGTCCAGCAAAGGTGACTGCTATAATAAATTTCAAAAGCTACTGTTGTTCTGACATCAGTGTCAAAGACCACTCTCTGTTTCCCTGTTACTCAGAGGCTAACACGTTTAAGGTGCATACTGAAAAAGCTGCTGTTGTCATGTTTGCAACTCTACATTGTTTCCTACATAAGAGACTGAATCAGCGTTACTTTATAGTTTTGGGATATAAAACAATAAGTAAGTACTGCGGCTGCAGCTCAGTGGAAGAGTACTTGACTCCCTAGCATGTTCACGGCCATGGGTTTGATCCTCAGGCTCCCCATACTGTGCAAATGTGTGTGCATGCACATGTATGTGCGCTCGATCGTATCACAGTTATGACATTGGTTGAAATATGGGCCAGAGTTTTAAAGCGTTGCCATAGTAAGCTGTTGTAACCGCAGTCAGAATGACTTTGGGTGCTAAAAGCCGTGAGGAGACAGATGCACAGAGAACAGAGGTGTAGAGGAAACAGATATGAATGAGCCCTCCTAGTCAGCAATTAAATGTAAGTTGATGAAACTCTCTGACTAAAAGGCAGAGGTAGCTAGAAAAGACTAAAACATCGCTTGAGGGGCTGGGGAGATGGCTCAGAGGTTGAGAGCACTGGCTACGGAACCATGAGGACCTGTGTTCAGATCTCGCCACATACCTGCACCCTAGTGCTTTGGTGCTCAGCTTCCCTTCCTTTGAGGAGCACTCTCAGCTTTTATTGCTTACTCTGGCATGGAGAGGCCTAGTGAATCTAGTCAGTTTCAGGGACTTCCTGAAGCTATTTTGAGTTTACCTTTCTATTTAAAGCAGGGGTTCTCATCCTTCCTACAGCCATGACTTTAATACAGTTCCCCATGTTGTGGTGACACCGAAGCATGAAGTTATTTTCGTTGCTACTTCATAACTATAATTTTGCTGCTGTTATGAATCATAATGTAAATATCTAATATTCAACCCCTGTGAAAGGGTATGTTGCAACACCCAGGTTGAGAACCACTGGTTGAAGGAGCTCCCCTACAGGAAACTGTTACACAACAGTGTCTCAGCAGCTAAAGCCAGTGGCCCACTCACTGCCTAGCCTCACAACTCTGAAGGAGGGCACCAGCTCCCTTGAGTTGTCCTCGATAATCCCATGCACACGGTGGCACACATACACACAAATAGGTATGAAGGAAAAATTAGACAATCGAGACACCTTACAGCATGAGTCATGATGACATTATACAACAGTCACAAACAGATTCCACTCACCTGAGGTGCACAGGGATGGCTGCCAGGGCAGAGGGAGGTGGAGTGGGGAGTCTAGCGGGGCAGACTGAGTTTTACTAGAAGAGCTGCAGAGATGGATGGCCATGTCTACAGTACAGATTACTGAATCCTTCTTAGTTGTACTCTTAAATGTGCTTAAAATAGTAGGTGCTGTGTGTATTTTAATCGCAGTAAAATTGGGAAAGAAAGAACAATGAAACATCTATTTCCAAAAAGCCGTATGTTATGCTTCTGCTGGGAAATCTGTTGCTTTTAAAGCTCCTGCTTAATATTTCTAGACTGGTTAACTGGATGAATGCATTAGCTAGTGTTTGCTTCGTAGTAACACTTTGTTGGGGCCATGTACAACAGAAAGAGCCCTATGAAGAGCATCAGGGAGGAAACATACCAAGATCCCACCATTGCATGTTGGTTCTCTGCCTTAATGTACATGTAAGTTGTGTCATATAGCAGAGTATCTATTCTGTGTTTGGGTGTTTTACCTACTTACAAAATATCTTTTACAACAAGGATATTTGCTCAACCATGTTTGTAGCAGCTTTATTTGTAATAGCCAGAAGCTGGAAACTCAGTTGAGGAATGGATACAGAAATTGTGGTACATTTACACAATGGAATACTACTGTGCAATTAAAAACAAGGAAATCATGAAATTTGCAGGCAAATGGCGAGAACTGGAAAAGTTCATCCTGAGTGAGGTATCCCAGAAGCAGAAAGATGCACACGGTATATACTCACTAATAAGTAGATGTTTGACATATAGGATAATCATACTAAAATCTGTACACCTAAAGAAACTAACCAAGAAGGAGACCCCTAGGTAAGATGCTCAATCTTCATTCAGAAAAGCAAAGGGGATAGGCACCGGAAGAGGGAGAAAACAGGGAACAGGACAGGAGCCTACCACAGAGGGCCTCTGAAAGACTCTACCCTGCAGGATATCAAAGCAGATGCTGAGACTCATAGCCAAACTTTTGGCAGAGTGCAGGGAATCTTAGGAAAGAAGGGGGAGATAGAAAGACCTGAAGAGGACAGGAGATCAACAGAACCAAAAAAATCTGGGCACAGGGGTCTTTTCTGAGACTGATACTCCAACCAAGGACCATGCATAGAGATAACCTAGAACCCCTGCGCAGATGTAGCCAATGGCAGCTCAGTCTCCAAGTGGGTTCCCTAGTAAGGGGAACAGGGGCTGTCTCTGACATGAACTCAGTGGCTAGCTCTTTGATCACCTCCCCCTGAGGGGGAAACAGCCTTACCAGGCCACAGAGGAAGACAATGCAGTCTCATCTCTTGATGAGACCTGATAGGCTGGGGTCAGATGGAAGGGGAGGAGAACCTCTCCTATCAGTGGACTTGGAGGGGCTTGGGAGGAGAAGAGAGGAAGGATAGGATTGGGAGGGAATGAGGGAGGGGGCTACGTCTGGGATACAAAGTGAATAAACTGTAATTAATATAAATAAATAAATAGATAGATAAATAAATAAATAAATGACCCAAATAAAAAAATAAAATAAAATCAGGTACAAGAGATTAACTCTGTCTAATGTGTAAGTCTTTCTTGCATTTAAAATAAAAGTCAGTAAGTTAATTACGTTAACCCTCTCTCCCCTTTTCTTCTGGGTTGCTCTAGGACCTAAAGTGATCCAGACTTCCACGGCTAACTACTCACTAAATAGTAGCAGAAAGGTAAGAGGGGCTACAGGAGGTGGGCAGTGTCAGTGTCTCTGAGAAGGGTCTGTGCTGGGAGGCTCTTGAGGACAGACCGCCCCTGTCCTGCTCTGGCTTCTCAGGCAGCACACAGTTCTTATTTCACGGTTGGGTTCTTGTTGGGTCCTCGGTGTCTTAGGAAGATGGTGATGGCAGAACTATAGCTCACTTCCTAGTGGTGTTAACTTGTCCTGAGTGCCGCGCTCACTGTTTTAACAGTGATGACGTAGGCATCTGACCCTTTCTTTAAAAAGCTTAATTTGGGTATCTATATGTGTGTGTGTGTGTGTGTGCGTGTGTAAAGGGCTGGGTTCCCAGCTCTGTCAGGGTTTGTGATCTGAGCTGTGTGCACAACATTTGTTTTATACTTTAAGATGAGGTATTCAGGGATTCTGTGAGCAGGTCATATGATTACGTTTTTTCTTCTGCTTCAGCTAAAGCAAATTCAAATACGTTCAAACCCACTGTCTACATATAACCAGCAGCTATGGCTGACGTGTGTTGTGGAGCTGGAGCCCTCGGAAGGTAGGCAGCCTGGGATTCAAGGTGGCTTGTTGTATTTAGTATACATTCTCATTCTGAGGAGGTGGAAAAGACTACACTGTCTGGGCATGTGTGGCAGATAAGTGTGGAAGGATCGCCTTGACTTCCATTAGGAAGGATTGGCAGCTCCTCCACCGTGTCACAGTGGGAGTCAGGGGCGTCTCTGTGGGGCGTGGACAGCTGAGCGCAGTGTGGACCTGAGAGAATTCTGTCCTGACACCTGGAGACACACTTCTCGGCTCCCCAGGGATATTTGCTAATGTGTGGGTACAATTTGACATGGGGATAGAAAGTGTTACCAGGTAGAGGCCAGAGCTGCCCTGAACATGCACAGCCTAGTCAGTCAGCAGTGGGGGGGAGGTCGTCTGTACAGTGGGGGGGTGTTGCTGGGAAGCCCAGCCCTGGGGAACCATTGTTGACAGAGACTAGCCTCTGTATCTTCCATGACACAAGCTGTATTTATCAGAATGGGGGTGGTTTCTGATCAGCTGCAGTACTCTAACAAAGAATACACTCCCTTGACCATAGTGAAAGAAGTGAGAAAAAGCAGAAGTAAATTGTACGTCAGGATTTGTGAATGGTCTAGAAAAAAAGACGGACACAAAAATGTTAATTATGGTTATTAGAATGGGACTGTAATTGCTCAGCGATGACGCCTTTATGTATTGTTGTTTGTGTATTTTAAGTACATTCGGGCAGGGTGCACACCTGTGTGTTGGCACAGAAGCCTGTGTCTTCTGCCACTCTCTGCCCATTCTTTTGAGTCGTGATCTCTCCTTGAACCTGGGGCTCACATTCCCTGGAAGCCACGTTGGCATAATGTTATCGTGCACTGTGTAAAGTTTACCCTCGTTCATTCAAATGCTGATTTCTCTACCCCACTATCTGGTTTCAATCTGGGCATGGCATTGCAGTGCTTATTCTAAGTATTTCATGTCTCAAGTTTGTGTAAACATGCCACCATTTGTTCTCTGCTTTGCCAATAAAAGCTGGCCACCCAGTTGCTTGGCATTAGGGAGAATAGGGTGGAACATCCATTCCCAGAGCGGGGAGGAGAAGAAGAGGGGAAGTGGGAATTTGGCCACAAGGAGAGATAGAAAAGGCATGGTGGAGAAAAGAGCCAGAGCAGAGAAGGCTGAAAATACAGGTATTGCGGGGATTTTGTCTAGGAAGAAGATAGATAGTCAGGGAGCATCATAACGCATTTATAATGCCCAATTACTGTGCTCTAAAGCTATTAATAAACCGTAGTCTCTTTGTGTCATCATTGGGGAACTACCTGGTTAAAGATAAACTGCTGCCATATTAACTCCTTGGATCATTGCCTATTAATTATTCTTTTTACATTTGGTGCCCCATGTGGGGCATCATACGTCAAATGTGTGCTTTTCCTCACAGCCCCAAGCTCCCAGTGTAACGACCTAGACTCAAACTCAAAATGTATTTACCAATACCTAGGCCATGAAGCTGGGCTTATTTCCTGACTAACTTATATCTTAATAACCTATTTATTTTAATCTAAGTCCTGCCACATAGCTGGTGACCTCTGCTCAGGAACCATGTGTCTGTCCTCTTTCATATCTTCCTAGGGCACATCTTCCATGTCTTGCTCTATCCCAGAATCCTTTCTGCCTACTGGAACTTCTCCCTCCTATTTCCTGCCTCAGCTATAAGCCATTAGCTTTTTATTGACTGGTGATGTTTCCATATAGGCACAAGAGATTCATTCCTTCTACAAAGCCAGAAAGCCTCAGGCACCCGCCTGTCTCCTCTCTCTACTCTCCACGGTGCTGGGGTTATAGGCATTTGTGGGACACTTATTAGGGGTGCTAGGACCTGAACTCTAGTCCTGAGCAGCAAGCTCTCTTAAATGCTGTGCTATCTCTTCAAACTGTTTGTTCATTCTCTCTTTCTAAAAATCTGTTACATTTATTTAAGAGAAAGAGAGAGAGAGAGTGTGTGTGTGTGTGTGTGTGTGTGTGTGTGTGTGTGTGTGTGTGTGTGAAAGGACAATTGTAGGGAGTTGGTCCTCTCCTTCCATGTGGGTCCTTGGGATGGAACCGAGTTGTTAGCCAGGCTTAGTAGCAGGCTTCTTTACACACTGAGCCGTCTCGACAGCCCTGTTCTCTTATAATTAGATAACTTTTAGTCAGAAATGGTAAGGATCTGTTTATATCTTGGTGTAAATTAGAGAATTTATGTGGAGAATTAAAGGGGTATTTTCACAGCCATGCATCCTTACATGAAGTGAAACAGATGAATCAGACATGCAGGTTTAACAGAACACAGGCCCCTCAGCAATGATGGGAGGTAGCAAAGGCTTTTCTTTGCTACACAGAAGAGCTTCAAACACAGAAGAGGGGTGATATGGCCTTCGGAAGCTTGTGGGCTATCTGTAGGACCCTGTCTGCAGGTGACTTCGCTGCTGGGAGGTGCCTGCTGTGGCCTCAGAAAACAAATGTCTTTCTCTTGTAGAAATATCTATCCAGACCAGCTTTTCCATGACTGTGAAAGTCGATGGTGTGGCGCAAGATGGAACCACGATGTACATTCATAACAAGGTTCACAATCGGACAAGGACCCTCACGTGTGCGGGGGTGAGTGTGTCTCCACAGTTAGTCATCAGCTACAAATGCCATCGCAGACCTGCTCATCCAACAAAGGGGCCAAGCTCGTGCAGGCTTCAAAATGGGTTTAAAGGTGTTAATTAGATGAGCACGCAAACAATGGATTTCCTCCTGCGGTCTGCCTACACATATGCCATCCTACTGCGTTCTCTGTTCCCTTTCCCGTGGCTCCCCTTTGCTCCTCTGGTTTCCTTCTCCCCTCAGTGTCCCCCTATTAGACCCTTTCCTGCTTTCCTTCTGTTGATCTGACTCCTCAGTTTCCCGTCCCTTAAGATTCCTTCCCTGTCATGACCCCACACAGCACATACATACACATGTAAACTCACATACATAAATTTAAATCTGGTATCTGCATAGAAAACATGTAGTAATGTTTTTTTGTACTTTGACTTATTTTACCTAGTGGAATGCTTTCCAGTTGAATCCATTTTCCCCAAACCTCGTGATTTCATTTTTCTTTAAGGTTACATAAAGTACTTACATACAAAATTATATTTTGTATATTTTGTATTTTTTTTACCTAGCCATCTGTTGATTGGCATCTAGGTTGGTTGCATTTCTCGGCTTCTGTTAGCAGCATAGCAATAAAATGGGTGTGCAAGTATATCTGTGGTATCCGACTCAGGTCCTGCTGGCGTATCCCAGGAGTGACACAGGTCATACGGCAGTCCTAGTTTCAGCTTTTTGAAGACCCTCCACATTGCTGTCAATGGCGTTAGTCCACGCCCCTGCCTGAAGTGAACATGGCTCCCCTTTCCACGTTCCTCACCAGCATTTGTTAGAGTTTGTTTTCTTGATAATAGCCCACTATGTCTTGGGTAAGAAGGACCCTCAAAGCGCTTTTAATTTGCCTTTTCTCGATGGCGAAGGATGTTGGGCATTTTTTGAAGCACTGGTAATCTGTGTTTCTTCCTCTGAGAGCTGCGTGTTCAGTTCTTTAGTCCATTTAATGATTGGATCATTTGGATCTTGGTGCTAGTTTTTGTGGTTCTTTATATATCTGAAATAGTAATCCCCTTCGATATGCTGGCAAAAACCCCAAACCCCACCCTGCCCCCCACCATTCTAGAGTCTGTCTCTTTCCTCTGGTGATTGTTTCTGTGTTTGCTACACAGAGACATTTTGATTTTATGCAACCACACACACAAACATGTACACACACATGCATGCTCATGGACACGCAGTCTGCTCCACACCCTGCGCCCATGTGATAGCTGCTGATTGCTGGCGTTAGGAGATGTGGAGGGCCAGTCTCGGGGGAACCTCTGCCCTGATCTCGGGTTGGTACTGATCTCGGTGGCCTCTGTGGTTTGTTCTGGGTATTGAATGCCCTGATCCGTGTGTGGACTGGCAGTCAGTGCCCAGGCCTCCTGCAGTCACCCACCAGTGTTTTAGGCATCTGTTCTGGAAGGTAGTGTGTGGCGTGGGAGCCAGCAAAGAGTGAACTGTCACGCTTTTATTCATTGATACTGTATTCGCTTCAGAAGCCAGTAACTCAGACCACATCCCTGCAACATCCAGGAGCCACACCAGGACTCAACAGGTTCCTGGCAGCAGGAGACGTGGCGAGGGTCAGAGCAGGGAGGGCGTAGATTAGAGGGCTGGCTCGGAAGGGAGGCTGGAGTGGCTGCGAGGTCCTGCTGAGGACCTTCTCTATGTCACTCATTAAGTCCTCACGGGAGGGCCACGGGGTAGGAGCTACAATCAAATTCCAGTTTGCAGAAGAAAAAACAGAGGCCTCAAGAGGTCACAGCCATCGTCCAGGCTGACACAGATACTCGGCAGAAGGAGAAGGATCTAAGCTGTTTTTTATCCAGAAGCTCTCTGGTGCGCTTTTATCCGGAAGCCTGCGCGTGGCTCTAACCACATGCGTCCTGCCCAGTTGCTAGTAGTAAGAGCACTGCCGAGTTCTCCTAGCAAGCAGAAATCTGAGCAGAGAAGGGCTCTTGTGAAGTGACTGGGCCTCTTCTCTCGGCTCCTCCCTCTTGACTCAAAGGGTGCCGAATCCTGTCCTGAGCTATGGAAGAGTGAGCGGTAGGTGAGGTGGCCCTCTCGCTCAGCAACCACAGCTGCCTATCACAGCCAGGAGGGCATCTAGAGAAGCAGCTGACCCCTCACCCTGTGTGCCTTCTCCCACCCAAGCAAGCGGCCAGAGCCATTTCTGGAACATATTCTCATGGGGGAGGGAGGCTTAAGCCCCTCCTGCCTGTTCTGGGAAAGTCACCAGGATCAAGGTCCCCGTGGGTCGCTCACCATCCTGTATGCAGGAGGCACGCAGTCAATGCCTCTGGGCAATGAGGAGGAGGTGTGTGAAAGTCGCAGAGGCCTCTGGGCAGCCCCAGGCAGGAATGAGCGAGATTTCCCTTGGCCGCCACAGCGGGATACACAGCTGCACGCTGAGTGCTGGTTCCACAGCGGCTGTCACTGGTCACCCCGGCTTGCCATTCGGAGACACTTTCGTGGAGAGTGGCCGTGTGGGGGCTGAGTTCTGTCACTGCTCCTGGGATGTGCTCGCCCTGCCATCTTCAGAGCGGTCCTTCTGGCGTGGGTAGCCTGCCTCAGTTCACACCGGCCACTATTGGGGAACACCTCCCCTCTATTCTTCATCCAGCCTGCTCTCCCCTTACTGCTGCAATGAAATGGTCCTGACTCAAGACAACGAGGAATTTTAATGTTGCACGGATATTTGTCACCTCTTATATTTTTTGAAATCTTTTTATTTTGTGTGTGTATGTGCATGTTTTCATGTTTGAGCACATGCATGTAGAGGTCAGAGGTTGGTGCTGGGTGTCTTCCTCAGTTACTCTTACATACTAAGTTAGGTCCACTCACTTGACCCCAGAGCTCACCACAGGCAGCCTTGCTTTAGGGTTCCTGTCTCCTTCTCCAGAGTGCTGGGATTGCAGGAGGTAGAGATCCAAACCCTGACCCTGGTGCTCTCTAGGCAAGCACTTTCTCCACCAAGCCACCTCCCTAGCCTTCGTAGCTGATTTGATATAGACAAACAAACAACACTGGTGCTTTGAGGTGGTGAAGAAGCATCCATCGTTTTGCCAGGTGCTTTGTAATCAAACAGAGCATGGCTCGAACCTAGGACCTAAAATCCTCAGGTGGCTTCACTGGGGTGTCTGTGACAGTACAAATGCCTGGAGCTGTAACTCCTAATGAAAACACCCCTGGCTGGAGAGATGGCTCATGTGTAGGTCCTTCATTGGCTTCTCTCCCAGAGACCCAAGTTTACTTCCCCACACCCACATCAGGCAGCCCACAACCTCCGTAACTCAAGCTCCAAGAGATCTCATGCCTTCTGGCATATTTGGGCATGCCTGCACACACAAATAAAAAGAAACTAAAAATAAAATCTTAAAAAAAAAAAAAGGTGAAACACCCCATGAAAATTACAAAGGATTCTTCTAATTGTGGAAACATGGCTGTCTCACAGAAGGTGTACCAGAGTGCTGTACCTGTGAATGTACCTGTTCCTGGTTCCAACTGAGTCCTTAGCTACACCTGTGACTGACAGTCATAGCAGAAAGGGGAACTTGGCTCTCCTGGGGATGAGAACCACAGACACTGAGAGGCAGGCAGGCAGCACGGAGGAGGAGGGAAGCTGCTCAGGTAGGAAAGGCAGCTCCCGTGGAGTCACTTGACAAGGAGATGGGTAAGTCAGAGGACTCCAGTCCCTGGCTGTAGGGCCACTTCCTGCAGGCTCCAGGTTGCATGTGTGGCCTTGGCTCCCCTTCAGCCCCTGCACCCGTCTCCTCTGTGCTTTCCCTCTTGTCCCTTAGGATGAGCAGTGTTGCCAGCAGCCAGCCCGCCCTGCCATTGTGTTTCTAAGGCCTGTCTGCTAACCATGACCTCAGACACTTGATGCTTGGTATGCTTTGAGCAATTATAGTTCTGGCTGTGCTTGTTGGGAGCCAGGCCGAAGATTACAGGCAGCAGTGGGGCTGCACTGCAGAGGGGGCGTGACCGCCCAGATTGGAGCACAGCTACGACAGAGCGCGGTCACGGGCCTCTAGGCTGCACAGCCACACCTGGGGTGAGGGTTGCCCGTACAGTGGAGCCCCAAGTCCTAACCCTAAAGGACTGAGAGCAGCGCTCAGCAGACCGTGAAGCACCCACATCTACCGTCGACACTGTCCACTTGCCGCTGGAAACGGCAGGCGAAACTGAGGAGTGGTAACTCCGTCACTCAGAAACTATGCCTGGCCACAGACTGCACATGTGGGCCCAGGACAAGTCAGCCTGTGGCACTCGGTCTGCTGGCTGGGCTTGCAGGTCCCCTGTGTATTGGCATTTACAGATGGGCCAGGCTTGTGCTCTCCGTGGTTAGCTTTTCTGTGTAGGCAAATGTGCTGTTTCTCAGTCATCCACAGGGGGATGATGCAGGAGGATGGTGGAATGCCTGTTGGGCGCCTGCTTTCTAGGAGCTGTCCTTGGCTGGCATCTGACTTTCTCTGTTCTAGTGTGCTCTCCTGAGAGTTCTGCTCATCTGTTGTTGAAATGAGTCACTTCAGGTCTGTGGGCGGGAGGGTCCTTTCAGCTTGCTTTTGCCACACAGGGCTCCTTTCTTTCAGAAATGTGCAGAGATCATTGTGGCCCACCTCGGCTACCTGAACTACACACAGTACACAGTGACCGTGGGATTTGAGCGCCTGAACCAACCGGTCAAGGAGATGAAGTTCACGGTAAGTGTGAAGCCGGCTGCACCTGGGCGGCTCCCCTGCCAGCTGGTTGGGTACAACAGTGCCTCGTGCAGTTTATTTTGGAAAACCAGTATTTTAGTCTGTGGAACCAAGAATAGCGCAAGCAAACATCACAGAAGTTGGAAAAGCCAGAGTACGCTTGGTCAGCAGGCCCACGCTTAGCTGCCTGTGACTGTTACAACTGCAGATTCATAAAATACTTGAGTATTTTAGGAAGTGCTTCTCATACTTAGAGCCTACACAAGTCTGTTTCTTTGCATGTAGATATTGTCATTTCCTAGTAAAGATTGACTTTTGATAGGAAATTAAAAATTCACATCTCCTTTAAATGATTATAGAATAACTTATCTTGTAGATTCACTACTTAAGACCATTTCAGAAAGTTCTTAATATTTAATATTTTTATCTGTTCTTTAGTATAAAAATAAAATTTGCTAAAATGTTGCAGCATTATGAGAAAACAGAAGGAAAAAAAAGCAATTTAAAACTCCTCAGTGATTGTTACTAATAGCCGGGCATGTCCCCCAGTGTCCTCATTCTAGTTGTAATTCTGTGTCTTTCCTGTACCCTCACTGTGGGATGACTTCCTGGTAGTCAGGTGCCCTGCCCCCGCCCCTCCCTCCATGCCTCTCTGTTTCCTGTTTCAGTGGAAGACATACAACCCTGCCTTTTCCCAGCTGGAGATTTGGCTCCGCTTTGTGTTTGTGGTGCTCACCTTCATTGTCATCGTGAGTTATCGTCTGCCTGGAGGGCTCTGGGTGGGGGGGCGGGGGCGGAGGGGGGAGGCTAATCGTGCAGTTCCAGTCACCAGAGAGCAAGCTCCATGTGAGCTCGGCCCTTTAGTGGGCTGGCCGAGTGATACTGCAGTGTCCACCAAGGCACTGTGTTGCGAAAAGAGCGTGTGATGTATCCAGGGACACCCCACGGGAGTCTCTGTGTGGTGTAACAGTGGTTGCTGATGACCGCCGGTCAGCAATCCCCATCACTGTAACGTAAGCATCTTTACTCCTCATGGAAGGGTTGGCTTGCTGGGGACCGTCTCAGTGCTGATATAGCGCTCTCTCGCTCGCTCTCTCTCTCTCTCTGGTCTTTTTATGTTTGGAAAGTTATTCTGAACATTTGAGCCTTGGACTCTTGAAGGACAAGCTTGCAGAGAAACAGTTCTGCAAACACAAGCTTTTGGCTCATTGGGGAGCTGAACTTTGTGCCACCACCACACTCACTTTGGAGAGAATATTAAAGCACAGAAGGGCACCCGAGAAAGCCCAGCTGTGAAGACAGGGACGTAGAGGTTGGAGACAGTGTGCTGTGTAGTGGCTGGCCATCAGTTGTGCGCCATCGAGCTGACAGGGAGCGTGGTTTTAGATGTGCACAGTGTGCAGGGATGGCCTCTCTAGTTGATGCCCAAAGCTCCCTTGTCATATTATAGACCCACAGTGGAGACCAGCACACAGGTACGCAGCGAAGTCGGGTGTGAGCAGTGTGGTAGGAAGGGGGCCCAGGCCCTTGGATCAGGCGTAGGGGAGCTGTGCCATGCTGGGGGCCACTGGCCTCATAGCTGGCCTCTCGGAAATCCTCTATGTTTTTTGAGGGCTACCTGGATTCTCCTTGGGCCCAAAAATTGATATTCACAGCCCAAAGTGTGCAAGCAGCCCACAGGCCAGAAATTCAAGCATCCCAAAAAGTTGTTAGTTTATATTAAATGACAGTGGGAAAAAAATAACAGACTTGTATGTAACACATTGTGCAGTGTTTAAAAGCTGTTTAAAGCCGTTCTCCCAGAGACTCTACACACTTACGGAGGTGTCTGAAAGCGTGCTAAGCCTCTGAGTGGCATGCCCTTGCCTCTTGGCTTTCCCTTGGGGATCCTAAGATCTTTCAGCTCCCCAGCTTAGGTAGGGGACCTGGTGGTATCAAATGTGCCTGTGCTCTGGGAAGGCCTGTGAGCCTCCACGTGGGCGCAGGCCTGACTGGAGCAGCCAAGCAGAAATGCAGGTGGTGAGCATGTTTTGTTTGCAGAGAACTCATGGCCTAGTGGAAGCAGCGTGTGGCCCATCTCTCCCGTGGCCCCATGCAGCCACTACACATCTTTGTCTTGCCTGTCACTGACGGCTGGTGGACTGAGAGCTGGTGGGACGTCCTTAGTCATTTCAACCAGGAACTGGCCCAGTGGAGCCTTCCTGGTGCCTCCCTGGTGGGGCGAGACCCACCCCGGCAGCACAGTCACCAGGCCCTTTGCTTTGCAGTGCCTGTTCGTGCATTCCCTGCGAAAGTTCTCCATGAGAGACTGGGGCATCGAGCAGAAGTGGATGGCCATTCTCCTGGCGCTGCTGCTGCTCTACAACGGTGGGTGCCGTGTTCCTTTCCAGACTTTCCCCCGTCAGCCTCCGAGCTGGCCTGGTCCCAGACTCGCCAGGAGCGTCCGGGGGAACCCTGCAGGAGCATATTGCAGCACGCTCCCTGCTCCCCAGGCACCGTGTTACAGGGCCATGGCAGATGCTTGGCTCCTGAAGAGACAGCGACTGCGGTAGTGAGAGCTTGGACGAGCTGCAGACTCAGCTGCCGTGGGGCCTGCCGAGGTGCCAGTGCGGCTGCCTCTTCCTCTGTCCCCATTCCAAAAAACATTTGCTCCGGCCCCGGGAACTCTCAGGCTGCGGGAGGAGCTGACACCGGGGCAGATGGCTCTCTGTTAGGATCCCTGTTGCAATCTGCTCAGTGGCGTTCAGACATTCAGAAAACAAAACCGCCTTTGGTTTGCTACCTGCCCTTCAGCTCTGAGCAGCAGAAAACTCATAACGCGCTCAGGGGTGGGAAGAGGCCGGGGGCTCTGCGCTGGTTGCCGGCCAGCTCCGTTCTTGTCAGTGTTCTGTCTCCTCTCCTCCAGATCCATTCTTCCCGCTTTCCTTCCTGGTGAACAGCTGGTTCCCGGGGATGCTGGATGACTTCTTCCAGTCCCTGTTCCTGTGTGCCCTGCTGCTCTTCTGGCTGTGCGTGTATCATGGGATACGGGTCCAGGTAAGCACACAGACAGACCCCCTGGCCTACGCTGCACAGCAGAGACCTGGTGTGTGGAAGTGTCTGGGGTCTCATGTGCTCTAGGGCTACTCACTGCTGTGTTTCTTACTTTTTTCCTGCTTTTTGCTTTTAGGGAGAAAGAAAATGCTTAACTTTCTATTTGCCTAAATTCTTCATCGTTGGACTGCTGTGGCTGGCTTCTGTCACGCTGGGAATATGGCAGACGTGAGTAATGCTGCGGGGTAGGACACCGTCCGTCACCCCTGGAAAGTGCTGGCAGCAGGGAGGGGCTGGACCTGCTCGCCCCTTGATCTCACCCAGACCGTAGCATCTGCCCTGGCTCATGCCTAGTCAGATAACTGGGTCCAGGGAATTGGGCTTGGCTTTGCGTCCTAGCAGATGAGAAAGGTCTGCTAGGCTGGGTGGAGAGTGACGGCGTGTGGGTCATCGTGGGCTTCTTTAGTGAGAAAGGACTCGGTTTGCCGGGGCAGCACCCAGAACTGCCCAGCAGAGCCACTGGAGTCCCCTTGTGCATCTTGAGGCTTTCTGATTCTTGCTAAGCTTCAAGCTGTACTGGCTCCTGCCCCTTCTGCGAAGAGCTTGCTGCCAGGGCGGTGCTTCACTGCCCAACTCCCCCGAGACGGCACTCAGTCCCAGACCCAGTGTGGGTTCTGTGGCTTTCCTGCTTGACTTCATGCCACAGCGGCACTGGCAAGGCTTCACACCGTCTGTGTCACGTACTTGTGTGTGAGCGTAGCTCCCAGTGCTAGTTCTGAAGTGTAAGCCCATGTAAGTTTTTAAGTTAATTAATTAATGGTGTTTGCTTGCTTGCTTTGTCTTCATCTATCTCACATGCCCGGGTATGCTATTGAAATAGCTCCTGGACCCAGGCGTGGAGGTGTGCGCCTTTAATCCCAGCACTCAGGGAGGCGAAGGCAGGCAGATCTTTGTGAGTTTGAGGCCAGCCTGGTCTACAAAGTGAGTCCAGGACAGCCAGAGCTACACAGAGAAACCCTGTCTCAAAAAGAAAGAAAAGAAAAATGCTTGTGGAGCTGGAGAGATGGCTTGGTTAGGTGTGCTACTCTTCCCGAGGACCCACGTTCCCAGACCCAGGTCAGGTGGCTCTCCAGCTGCGGGGTCCCCTCTCGCCTGTGAGTGCACAGAACACCCACAGAAACACATATATACACACAGTTTAAAAATTAAATCTGCAGCTGGAGACAGGGTGCAGTGGTTGGGAACACTGATTGCTCTTCCAGGGAGCCCAGGGTCAATTCCCGGCACCCACGTGGCAGTTCACAGCTGTAACTCCAGCTGCAAGGGACCTGATATCCTCACAAAGACATGCACGCAGGCAAACACCAATGCACGTGAAATGAAAATAAATCAATTATTAAACATAAAAAGCAGATCTTTTTAAAAAAACAGCTCTTCAGCTATGTAAGAGATAAAAAACAAAACAAACAAACAAACAAAAACCCTGCAGCTTCTCCATACTGATGAGGGTAGCAGGCATGCACCACTGTCCGTGGCTTCCTGTGGATACTTTGTGCTAAAATACAGGGTTGCTATTTAAAAATCCTCCAATGCTGATGGCAGGTGTTCCACATTTACAAGCAAAAACCGAAATGAAAGCAAAACCCAAGTCAGGAAAAGTATGAAATAGAAAGTAAACTTTCTAATTAATCTGTATTTTTACCATCATCCTTTTAGAGTTAATGAATTACATGATCCCATGTACCAGTATCGGGTTGACACCGGGAACTTTCAGGTAGGCAGAGTTGATGTGAAGCCTCCTGGCTTGTTCACCAGCTCTAACGAAGTGGTTGGGTCTGTAGCTTTGATCACACGGTCAGCTTGAGGTTCCCAGTGGCTGCTTACAAAGGAATGCAGAAAGTCAGAAGTGGAAGATCTGGGGAGAGAGGTTGGGTACTCTCTACTTTACTTTTACAGAGTACTTTCTACTCTGTAAAAAGTAGGCCATTAGACAGGGAGATGGCTCACTTGAATCATGATGGCTCATGAGGTTCTCACAGGCATGAAAACCTCAGCCCAGGAGGGCACTGGCCTGGGGAAGAGTGCTGGTCTAGGGTCTGGGGAGGCCACTCTGGGGGTGAGGAGCCTAGGGTGGGGTGCCCTGGGAGGAGCTTCGCTCAAAAAGTGGGGTAGTACTGAGGGGGGAGGGGGTGGAGGCTACTGTAGGCACGGCAGGAGCTTCAAGGGTTTTCTGGGAGGAGGGAAGAGCTGCCCTAACCCACTTCCTAGGACACGTCAGCTGAGGCTATGGTCAGTGGAACGCCAAGATTTAGAGGAACTAGTGCGGTGGACCAGTCTGCAGTTCCTTCACGCTTGTCTGTCCTTGTTCATCATTTCTATGGCAAACGGAGGCAGGAAGAAGGGCCACAGGGTCAGGGGCCACACTGCAAGGGGACGCAGCCTAGACCATTACAGGCTCAACCAGTGACTGGAGACCCCTGTGTCTTCATCTGTGAAGTGGGGCAGTAATGGGATCACCCCTATCATACAAGGAATGTAAAGCCCTTGGCCAAAGGTCACAGACAAGGCTCCATCCTGAATCATTGGCCAGCCCTTCCCTTCCCAGCCAGGCTGTCTGGGATGGAGCTGTGAGGACAGAGAACAGCCCACATTCTTTACGGAAGAACACAGCAGAAATCAAAGACTGCTAGAGTGCTGGGAACTGCCCTCCCGTTATGAGGAAATGAACTAGACCGAAGGTTTTTCCCACAGCAGAAGCAGATCTTAGGCCTGCTGTCCCAACGTCAATGGTATGATCTTGAGGGAGGGACTCTGCTTCAGAGAGAACAGGGAGCTCCTACCCAGAAGAGCCTCCTAGGCAGAAAGGACCAGGGAGGAAGGTTCGGGACCTCCTGCCCTCAGGCAAGGGCTTTTCCATCCTCAAACTGTGAAAGGGAATGCTTCCAGACCTTAGATGTCTTCGAGCCTTTCTTTCAGCCCCTCCTTTCTCAGGAACGCGAAGGCCAAGTACAGTCAGAGGCTGGTATGAGGACCAGCTGGGTCCAGCTCTAAGTCCTGTCAGCATGACCTTTGGCCTCAGTAACACAAAGGTCAAGTCCCACCCTAGGCAGAGACATTAGTTGCCTCTAACAATTGCTCAGCACTATCTGGCTTGAGGTTCTAGGCAAAGCACTGGTATGCAAGTTTGAGTGACGCTGATATGAGATGTTCGTGCTTGCAGAGCCCTTCCTGGTGCTGGGACAGTGGGTGTGACCTGAGGCCCTTGGTCCCCTCTAAGCACACCTGTTGGGTGTCAAAAAGACACATACTCCAAAGCCTAGTGTCAACCTCACCCACCTTTATTCCAGGGCATGAAGGTCTTCTTCATGGTGGTGGCCGCTGTGTACATTTTATATCTCCTGTTCTTGGTAGTGCGGGCATGCTCCGAGCTCCGTCACATGCCTTATGTGGGTGAGTGCCACTCTGGGAAGCATGGGGCAGCAGAGGCCACACGCCAGAAGCCTTTGGCCCTAGAAAGCCATGAGAAGCCTCAGGAAGGACCAGCTGTTTGGTGAGAAACCTTTAAAGGATCTGCCAGTGGTCCCTGGTGTCACAGCGCTGTGAGAGCCGCAGGGGACCTGAGAGGCTCCTGAAGAACACTGTCCTTGACCAGGGCAAGCCACAGTACTGGGCCCACTCTGTGTGGTCTTCCAGAGCCATGGGAGAACAGGCATAGAGCATGCAAGAGAGACCCACCCAAGGTGGCTTTGTTGTTTGGTTTGTCTTTCAAGCTCTGAGGTGAGGTAGAATTTGCTAATGGGAGCATCTCCTTCTTTTTCAGATCTCAGGTTAAAGTTTCTGACCGCATTGACCTTTGTAGTACTTGTTATTAGGTAAGACTTTATTGTGTGTGTGTCTGGGTGTGCTTGGGGATGCATGCATGTGGGGGGGAGGTGCTTGGGGATTCAGGCATGTATGTGTCTGGAGCCAGACGGTGGACATGCGTGTCTTCCTCTTTCATTTTCCACATTATTTTGTATGTTAACTAACGCATTATGTGTGTTGGAGTGGTGCACGTGTCGAGGCGTCCAGAGAAAAAGATGCAGGAAGTGATTTTCTGCCCATCCTCCCCTGTGTGGTACAGAGGTTGGCAGGCTTAGCTGCAGCATCTTTACCTGTTGGGCCATCTTGTCAGCCCAGCTCTCCCACTCCTCTTTCTGGAGACAGGGCTGTCTCTCGGAGCTCCCTGGCAGGTTAGGTTGGCTCTCCAGCAGCCTCTGTCTCTGTGCTCTCCCAGCCCCATTTCCCAGTGCTTACAGATGCCCTCCAGCACTCCCGGCCTTCACCTGGCTGCCGGGACCTGAAGCAGGTCCTCGAGCTGGCCTGAGAGGCACCGCGCCTCTGCACAGCTGGCACTTGATGATTTAATTAACCCTGTGTTTCCATCCCCCCTCTCATCTCCTTGTGTGGAGTTAATTCAGGGTGCTTGTTAATTCTACAAACTCAGAGGGCTCCTCTTGCTGTGAAGAGAAACCATGACCATGGCAACTCTTTGAAAGGAAAACATTTCATTGGGGCTGGCTTACAGTTTCAGAGGCTCAGTCCCTTGTTGTCATGACAGGAAATACGGGCAAATGCAGGCAGACATGGTGCTGGAGAAGGAGCTAAGAGACACACCTGGGTCCTGAGGCAGCAGGGAGAGAGAGTGAACCACTGAGCTTGGACTTGAGCATCTGAAGCGTCAAAGCTTGGCCCCTAGAGACCACTTCCTCCAGCAAGGCCACACCTGCTCCTCCTAATAGTACCACGCCCTATGGGCCAAGCATTTGAACACATGAGTCTATGAGGCCCATTGCTTTTCAGATCACTGTAGCTCCTAATCAAACTTATATAAGAGCTAGGCTGAGTTGGCACAGGCCTTTAATCCCTGCACTTGAGAGGCAGAGGCAAGCAGATCTCTCGAGTTCAAGGCCAGCCTAGTCTACAGAGTGAGCTCTAAGATAGCCAGGGCTACACAGAAAAACCCTGTCTTGACAGGGAAAAAAAATTACATAATGATAATGATCTAGTTACAAAGGTTCCATCATAAATGTCCAGGCTTGTGGAGCACATTAACTGACATTTCCCTTCTCACCCCATACCCTGCTGAGCACGTGTAGTCTCCCACGTCAGAGAAGCGCATCCTGCAGAGTACACCTGAGGGATGTCTGGGCCTCCAGATCCTTTTGGTGCTAAGGACCCTTTGTGAGCAGTCAGCAGGCATCAGGGAGAAGCTAGTGTCGGGGCAGCTGGCAGCCGTCCACAGAGTCCCTAAGAGATGGTGGTTGTTTAGACTTGCTCTTCGGTTCCTAAAAGTTAAACTGTCCGGCGGGCACCCACGCTGCTTTTTGGTTGCACAGTGGATGCTGTGTTTCTCCTGAGAGCCAAAGTGACTTGTGGGGGTGGGGCCACGGCCACATAGGTGTGGGTGTAGAAGTTTCCTGTTAAGTCTTACTGGGGTAAGCCCTTCTGTATTTCCACAAGGTGGTTCCCCTTCTCTTTCAGCATCGTCATCCTCTATCTAAGGTTTGGAGCGCAAGTGTTGCAAGACAACTTTGTAGCGGAACTGTCCGCTCACTACCAGAACTATATCCTTATCCTGGGGAAGCGGGCCTCAAAGCCCTGAGTTCATAGTTAACACCTTAGCTCTGGACACCTTCGAGGGGACCAGTCAGCCAGCCCCTTATGACCTGTACTCAGCAGGCCTCAGGCGTGTGTTGCCTCCTCTCTCGCCTTCCTGTTGGCCCTGAGAAGGGTGAGTTTCATTAGCCCTCCCTGTTAGGCAGGAGGCTGATACACAGCAGGGCTGAGCCAGTGCCCATGTTTAATCACTGTGCGTAGCTCGGATCCAAACTGATGACCACACTAGACGGTTCTGAGTGGGGCAGGCCTGAGAGACTGAGTGAAACAGTTGCATGTCCAAATCCCAGGCAGTCCTGAGCTGCTGAGCCGCTGGTTCCCTCTAGCAGAGAGAGAGAGAGAGAGAGAGCGCACCAACGACTAGTCAGGGGTGACTGGAGTCATGTATGCCAACAGCACCTTCTAAACATCATTCAGGTGCAGTCAGACCCTAGGAACACTATGGTAGAAGCTTGGCTTGTGACAGCTAGCCATGAGCTTGAGCTGAGGCATACAAGCATCTGGGTTGTGGACCCACCAGGCTGGTCCAGGACCCTGGAAGGGGCTGCTGGGGAACGGGAGGCAGAGGCTTGTGTGTCCCTTGACCAGCAGCACCAGCTGAGTTCCTGTCTTTCTATGGCCTGTTGAACTTTTACCTCTACACGCTGGCCTTTGTGTATTCCCCGTCGAAGAATGCTCTGTACGGTAAGCCACCTGGGGGCTGGGTTGCTCTGTGGATGTTGAAACAGAGGTCTCCATTGGCTCGGGTTTCCCGAGGTGCAGGACCAGAGGCAGAAGGCAGGAGAATGGTATCCTGAAGCTGCACACAGAACACCAATGTGTACCTGTGTCACAGTCTCACAGAATGCTACTGCCAAGTTTGGTTGGGGCCTGGGATCCTTCAGACCCCCTCCTGCCTGGGCTAGCAATACATAATGCTGTCATTAAGCACACTTTCGTTGGTTTTCAGAGTCCCAGCTAAAAGACAACCCCGCATTTTCCATGCTGAACGACTCTGACGACGATGTGATTTACGGGTAGGTCACATGTGCATTCAGTCTGGCTCGCTTTTGCTGGCTGAACCGATGGCACTTGGAGACTGTCTCCATAGACATGGGAGTGTCTGGGGGGGGGGGGTACGGCTTTGTTTTGTGTGCTTCGCATGGATTTAGTGGCATTCCATTTTTCAGAATGCCCACCCTGTGAGGGGACTACAGAACAATTCTGTCTGAACTAATGGGTCCTGAAAGTCAAGTTGGGGAGAGTGAACAGTTTCAGTTGACTAGACCCTAAGAGAAGGCTGGAGGTTAGTTCTTTCAGTCTAGCAGTCAGTGTGAAGGCCGAAGAGGCATCAAGGCTACCAGGTGGTGGTTGGAGAGGTGACTTAGTGAAGTAGCTACTGTGTCAGCATGAGGACCCAAGATTAGATTCCGAGGACCCACAGAAAATGCCAGGTTCTGAACTGTGATGGTACATGGCTGTAAACCTAGGAGACAGAGGCAAGTGGAGCTTTAGGAGTTCAAGGCCAGCCTGGCCTACAGTGTCTCATAAGACAACACAAAGCCAGACCCAGTGCTCGGTCCACACCCCCGTAATCCCAGTATTAGGCAGGCGGGACCAGAAGGGTTCCTGGGGTTCACTGACCAGCGCTGAGCCAGTGAGCTCCGGGTTCTGTGAGAGACCCTGTCCCCAAAACTGAGGTGATGAGCAGTTGAGGAAGACACCAGACGTCAGCCTCTGGCCCCCACACACATGCACATACAGGAAAGAGCTGCCAGGGTGGCAGAGTGTCACGGGTCTCTTTCACAACAGGAGTGACTATGAAGAAATGCCCCTGCAGAACGGGCAGGCCATCCGTGCCAAGTACAAGGAAGAGTCGGACAGTGACTGAGCCCTGGCAGCAGATGGGACAGCGAGGGGCCCAGAGGCCCTCCTTGGTGATGTGCTCTGGTCCTTTCTTCTGTGTGTGTGTGTCTGGACTCCTCCTGTAAGCAAAGGTTCCCTGTTCCTTATTTGTTTACATATTTTTAAAAGAAAAACCAAATGGATTGAAATGTTGGGCGAGTTTGCTGTCAGCATAGCTCCACTACGGAAGAAGAGGGGCTGGCTGGCAGAGTTCTGAGGCATCTCCTCTCACTGAGATGCCAGACAGAGCCTATTTGCAATGATGAGGAGAAATTGCCCATTTTTAATAAAAAGAATTATGTACATTTTTTTCCTTTGAAGAAGCAATTGAGAGCAATTGAGTCTGTGGGAAGCCTGATGACCAAGGTCCCAGCATGGCAATGTGATGCCTCTTCCCTCTGTTCCACGGCACCACTCCTCAGAGCTCTACCCTCAGAGGGAAGCCTGACCGGTGCCTGCCTAGGTGGACCGCCTCCATCTTCTCAGACACTGGAATGCTCAGTGCGCTGACTTCCAAGCATCTGGTACAATGGCTCCGACTGCCTTCAGCAAAGGCTTGTGGCCAGGCTGAGGTCCAGCACTACCTGGGAGCAGAAGTGGTGACAAAGTTGAGTCCAAAGGAGGTCAACAGCCTGGGGAAAGCTAAGGTGTTGACAAGCCTGTGGGTGAGGTTCTATGCCATGGTGCTTTTGAAGGGTCTATGTTCAGGGTGGGAAACAGGGTGGCCCTTCCCATTCCCAGAGTTTCTGCAACTCCACTGAGTGTGAAACCCCCAAAGAGCTCTATTTTTTGATGAAAGTTAGAATAAATACTACTATATTAGAAATGCTTTATTGCCAGAAGATTTTCAGTTTTAATATTTGGAACTAAAATAAAGATAAAGTAAAACATTTTGAATGCCTTTCGAGACACCTTCAGATTAAGGAATTTGCCTGAAGGTTGTTCTGTCCTTGGAGTATTGCTCTGTGGGAATCGGCTGTCGCCTGCACTGGTGAGATTCAGCATTGGAAGTCCTGAGTGCTGCTGCCTTCCGTCACACTCCAGAGTCTCCACACGAGTAGTGTCTCTGTGAACCCCTGGTGATGGTAGCCATCTGCCTGCCTCCGTTTTGGCAAATCCAGAGGCCCAAGAACGGGTGGATCCCTCTTCCGGCAACACCTCAATACCTTCATCTATGCACCCACTCAGATTTCCACCCTGAGCTGCAGGCTACTGCCCAGGTGGGCCAGGACCCCAGGGACGGCCGGAGACTCTTCACTCTGCCCGCCTGTCTTCTTAAACGCTACATACTTTAAAATGGATTCCATATGCATTGTTTAAAAAAAAAAAAAAAGCTTGTAAATATGAACATTTGAATGAAAACTGTTGTTGCAAGGGTGACGGGTTTACGTGATTTTTACACTTGCAGTGCTGTGATCACCGAGTCTGTGCTCACAGACATCGGAAGGTTCTGTTACCAGCACTTCTAACGGATCACTGCAGCTGCCATCTTGCGGACACTGGCTTCTGCCGATTCCAAGAAGTTCACTAGTTTACATGTTTAATCATTACAAGACGTTCTCCATGTTTTAGAACACTATTATTTATCAGCCATTGTTAAGATATTTTAAGAATTTAGATACAGACTTCAGAACTTTTAAAAACCAACATGTAGTGTAATTATAAACTGATTCTAGTGTCCCTGAAACTAAAGGGAATTTTTGTTGTTGTTGGAAATAGGAATTGCGAAGAAGCACTTAAGGGGACGCGGTCATTAAATTGTGTTTTCACATTTCCCTTTGTCATGACCATCATGTATTTATTATATGCTGTGTAAAACCTTGCTTACGGATCTAGAGACTTCGGGGGTAGAAGGAGGCTGTAGGTATTAGGTTAAAACACTAAATTCCACCAGAAATTTTGATAGCAATGAGATTGTTTTACTCTGAGGTAATTAAAGTTTCATAAACTTAAGTTTATATTCAAAGAGCTGACGAGTTCTTTCGGGGTAATGGTATGAATACCGTCTTTGGGATATTTTTTATATTGGTCCAATCTAGGGGAACCTGGAAGATGAGATGTCTCCTGACTTTCCCAGAGAGAGCTCTGTTCTCCCTCTGGATATTAAGTCTGCTTCATTTGTTGTCAGATCACTGTAGCAGTAATTCGGTGCCTTCAAGCCCCATTTGAAAGGCTAGAGAAAGGGATACATAAGTGACGGGTGAGGCTCACAAGGTTTCCACAGGTGCAGACTGGAGAGTTTAAATATGTAAAGCCAACCCACAGATGGGCAGTTTATAAAATGGATGTCACCAGCCTCAAGTGCAGAGCCACTGAAGACAGTTAAATAAACAGGCTCAAATATGGTTACTAGTCCTTACAGGAAAAACACAAGCATCCATGAGAAACAAACCTGAGATCTGGTGTGGATTAGATTTGAGGGTTTAGAAATCCATTGCCTTAGTAGTTAGATTTTTTTTCTCTCTCTTTTCTAGGGAAGGGAGTATACAACTCTTCTTTTCAGGCCAAAGGGAAACTGATTTAGTCTGACACCTTGAACAGTTTGTCTTGGTGTTTTGGGTGCTGCTAGGTGTAACACCACGCTGCGACACATCCTGGAGCACAGGGCAGGTGTGACTCCATTCTGTGACGCAGGATTTTTCTGCTACCAAAAACTACCTTTTCCAAATGGCTATAAATATTTGTCAAATAAAAACACTAGCCTCTAAGTCCAGAAGAAACACTGGAACTATGGATGAAGCCTGGGTGATCCCTCAAGGAGTAAATGCTGATTGATAGAAAACTCAATAAAATTCACGTTTTGGGAATGGCTTCCGTATTAGACTTTTTGTTGCTGTGACTGAGACCTGATGGAAACCTCACAGGAGGGTAGTCGTACTTCAGCTCATGAGTCCATGGCTAGCTCCCTCCACCGTGGGGCTGTGATGAGGAAGAACACCGGGCCAAGATTGTGTGGCAGAGATACCTCCTGGTAGCCAGGAAGCAAAGCAGAATGACAGGAAGGGACTGGAGCAAGACAAAGGCCCTCAACCCCTAGAGGCATGCTTGCTGCCATCTGTCTCCTTCAGCAGGCTCCACCTCCAACTTCCCAGAGCAGCTGACGGCCAGTGTTTGACAAAGACACCTGAGGGGACATTTCACACCTAAACATAATAGCTTCATTCTGACAATATCCCTTGTGCATGATGTTACTGTATTTCTAACTTTTAACCTTTTATGCATTCGTTGATTCTATAGGAGGCTTTAGAAAGTTTTCCTCAGAGACCACAGCAAGGCTCTTCAGCCAGGGGCACTGGGGAGACAGCTCAACAGGTAAAATGCTTGCTGTGTGAGCATGAGGAGCTGGATTTGGATCTGCAGTGGCATGTGTCTGTAACCACAGGGCTGGACAGGAAGAGCAGAGACAGGTGGGTCCTGGGGCTTGGTGGCCAGCCACTGTAGCTGAAACAGTAAGCTCCGGGTTCAGGGAGAGGGGGCGTCTCAGAAACCACGCTGGAGCCGGACACAGAAGAGGCCTGCGTGAGTGTGCGCTCCTGTATATACACATGCGTGCACACAACAAACAGGTGGTCATGCCAGTCATAGTGTCTTACACAGTGGCCCACGGGAGAACCCCTGAGCAGTCAGCGGACAGCCTAGACTTTGGGGTCCCTTCACACTAGTGACTTGAAATTAACTGGATAGCTGAGCCCTTTGTTATACCCAAGCAACTGCATTAACTGAACACAGTAATCCCAAAAGTGTTTTGTAAGCCTGTGGCTGCTACTGAAAATTCAAGAACATGGGATTGAAAGCTGCAATATGGCCAGGCGTGATGGTGCATGCCTTTAATCCCAGCACCCTGGGAGGCAGAGGCAGGCAGAGCACTGTGAGTTCAAGGCCAGCCTGGTCTACAAAGTGAGTCCAGGAGAGCCACGGCTACACAGAGAAACCCTGTCTCAAGGAAGGGGGGAAAAAAGCTGCAGTATAAGAGCACTGGGCCAAGCATGCATGAGTTAGTGCTTACTACTGGCTTGGCAACTTTCACTTCCAGAAAGCAGGAACTAAAAATGAAGGGTTGCAACCTGGCCAGGGCTCCTGTCCCATGGAGGAGTTAACCCGTTTCCATTCTGGAGGACCAAGCCGGAGCTGCAGGGGGGTTGGTTTGGTTTGGTTCTCTCTCCTATACTTTTGTGCTTCCTGCTCTGTGCCAGCCAGCCAGCGCAAAGAAACTAAACAGATGGGGCCAGTGAGGTGCTTCCGCCGAGCCTGGTGATGACCTGAGCTCCATTCCTGGGGCCAGTGGTGGAGAAGAGGACCAACTCCCACAGGCTACCTTTCATCTCCACAAGCGTGTCGTGGCACACATATTTACTCACTCTCACACAAATAAATGTAAATTAAAAATCAAACAGCTCTAAACTGATGGGATCTGCCATTTTCCTACATCTCTGAGGAAGCTCCTTGGCACCTGCCCCTGAGGTTCGTGACCTCTGCAGCTCTGCCAGCGCTACCAGGTTTTTACCATCACAGTAAGAAACAGGCCCAGGGCCTTCGAGTGTGACCCACAGAGCTGGCCTTGCATTGTCCTGAGACTGAGCCAGTGTGCGGGTGCACGCTATGTCAGCGTGCAAAGGCAGCCTTCCTTTTCCCCAGCCAATTCTGAAGGCAGTAACCAGATTCCTGTAATGCTGCAGACTACAAAGAACAAAAACTTTAATTTTGAATAATTTATTATTCTAACAAAAGTATCAAGTATGGAAAATTAGTGTCTCTGAATCATTTCAGAAAGTAGAGAAAGTTCCCACTAGCAGATGTCGGTTTTTTAGCACCTTTGAAGAGAGACAGTTAAGACAAGCGGCGCTGGCAGCCTCGGGTGACAGGTGGCTGCTCGTGTGCCTGACACGGTGCGGTCCTGTGACCGTGGGGTCATTTGGTTTATTTCTCTACATTTTGAGAGTGCCACAAAACACTGGAGGAGGAGGAAGGTGTGTGTCCGATTCGTAGCTGGTGGTGACTGAACTGGGTGCTGAGGCGGAGGCTGCCGGCCGGCGAGCTCAGATGGACAGTCCGAAGGCACTGACGATGCAGTACATGGTCTTGTTCTCCCATCGGACCGTGCAGCTCCCTGTGGGGACACAGACCAGCATGAGAAGTGGGGAAGCCAGGAGATGTGGTCCCACCATGCCAGCGCTGGAGAGCGTGCCACTGACACACAGGGTGACCTCACAAATAAACGGGCAAGTGTGCACAGAGTGGGCGTAAAAACATTTGTAAGAGGGCGGAAAGCCTACCATCCGTAGAGCTGTCCCAGAAGCAGGAACTCGCGGTGTGGAGCCCAGCTCCGTTCTTCTGCATGATCACGCAGGTCACTTAAATTAAATGAACCTGTGTTAGAAAACTCGGCAACACGAATTTCCTCTGCCTGCTTCTGAATGCAGGTAGATGACATGGGTATTCCTAGACTGAGAGGCAGCCTGTTCTCTCACTATGAAAAGTTACGTATTTCCTTTATCTTAACATGTTCTAAACATGTCTTGTTTAGCGTAAGCCCTGCGACATTGGCACAGCCTGAGAAGGAGGTCAGGCGCAGGGTACACGCACTGCACAGGGGACCTGGTCCTGGAAAGAGCCCTCAGAGGCTAGGCACCCAATTGCTAAGTGAGCTTTCTTCAGACACACCTCAGAGCAGCATTTAAAGAATCTCAAAACACACGAGAAGAAATCCATTACCGATGTATTTAAATGGTTTCCCCAGCTTGGTGAGTTGGCTCAGAGTCTGTTCTACAACGTTAGTGGTCCACTGGTTGACTTTGCTGTGCTGGTACGCATTACCACCGATGGCGCTTTCTATAGCCTAGGTTAAAGAGCACAAGACGTCACACAGAGAACCCCAGATACCACACCCACCAATCACCGGAAAGGGCCGGGACCCCCCCTGGGACCTAAGGACAGAACTCTAGGTAGATGCAGAACTATATGTAACCACGGGCTCCTCTGCATGTGTGGCTTCTGCTAACGCATTACCCTGCATCTCAGTTGTGTTCACACTGGCTGAAAATGTATGTTCTGTAGAGCCTGTCAGTGTGTTCAACATTCTAACTGAACAAGTGGACTGAATGTTCACGCTGCTGTCAATATCTACAGATAAGAAACTTTTTTGTTGTTTGTTTTTTAAGACAGAATTTCTCTGTGTAGCCTTGGCTGTGCTGGACTCGCTTTGTAGACCAGGCTGGCCTTGAACTCACAGCAATCCGCCTTCCTCTGCCTCCCTGAGTTCTGGGATTACACACCACCGTGCCCTGCGGCAACACTTTTCCTAGAGGCTAAAATATATTTTATTTTGCCCATTACTTAAGAGTATACTGATCATTTTTACCAACCATGAAATATATAATTAATGGGTATGTTAGATGACAGTTTACTGAATGTTTGTACAACTGGCAACATACAACCAGTCTTCCAGTGCTTTCTGCCCTCACTTACTGGGCTTCCCATGTCGCACTTTCCAGATAACTGAAGAACAGCCCAGCAGAGCTCAAGCTTCTGGCGTTCCTCCTAAAGGCTGGGCTTCTACAGAGCACAGCCCGCTTTCCTGATGTTTCTCCAAGATGCAGTGACTCCCTGGGTCTTTCCCAGCATCCCCTCTCCCAGATGCCAGTGCGGCACTGAGCAGCTCCGTGCTTCATCCCTTTTAAGTGGCCGGAAGCCAGAATATGAAGGTTTTATTACAGCCTAACCTGTTTTCAGACACAAGGTCCAGGGGACCCTCACTGCACACTGTGGTGAAGGAACGGTGCATGATGCCTCAGGCTGAGTGCGGCACCCAGGCTTTCGAGGGATAAAAACCCTACACCAAGGATAACCCGTGATCACCTCCAGACTTGGGGCTCTGACACAGCTCCTAGTTATCCCGCATCCTCTGCCATGTCTGCCCACTCTAGGCTGAGGGCACAGGGTGGCCTGACAACTACTGGTTTGCTTTAGTTGAGGTACGATACATACTGTCAAAGGGGGAAGGGCAGCCCTCCATACACGATGACATCCAGTTTGGGGGGAGAGAAGAAAACTAAATTTGGACCCACTCATATTCCAGTACCTAACACTTTTAAACAGCAGCTTGAGGCCAGAACCAACCTCCTGCCAGAGCATGAACACTGAGTCGCCTCCCACTTCCTTAGCCTGCTATGCAAACCGTCAACCACCTGCTGCCTATGACTGCCAATAAGTAGACGCACGAAAACAGGAGGCAAAACTCATCCCGAACAAACCCACTCTATTTTCCCCGTTCTGGCTTAATGCACCACTTTTCCGCCTCCCCCAGTCCACAGGAAACACTGCAAATTTACACTTCGTGCAAAGCACCAGAAAAATCACACCCCATGTTGAACAATATACATAAAAAAGAAAATTACTTTGTTTTTGGATACTTCCCACAAAGCGGAGTGTGGTTCTTTAACACAAGTCCACAGTGGACATCAGCAATCTTACACTGAAGTCAATCCAAAATGATTCTGAGGACCCTCAAATGGGACCTGACAAAAGCAACTTATGGGAAGAAGGGTTTATCCTAGCCGCCAGTCCACGGTGGGAGGAAGGTCATGGCAGTGGGGGCTTGAGGCAGCTGATGTCTGTAGGCAGGAAGCAGAGGGCAATGAAAGCTGGTGCTCAGCTCGCCTCTCCTCTCTCTTCAGGTTGGGATACCCCCGGCCCGTGGAAAGGTGCCACCCACATCCTGGGTAAGTCTTCTCACCTCGTTAACTAATCCAGGTAATTCCTCCCAGACACAAAGATGCATGGTGACCAGCCACCACACACTCCAGCCACCAGGACGGATTGTCTCCCTCCCAACCATGAGCCAAAATAAACCCCTCCTTCTGTAGCAAGGCTTGTGTCAGACACTGTCACGGTGATACAGTTCCTTTTGTCTGTTTAACAGAAGTTCTATGATTGCTATCAACAACATTTACGAATGTAAGAAAAATCGATGAATAACCACCTAACTGTATCACCAGGTCCTGAGTTATGGAAGTTGTTATATTTTTTTTCTTCACTTGCTCTTCATCAAACATTGGACACATTTATGTGTGTGTCATGAGTCTTCATGCTACAAGGTTACAGAATCTGCCTTCGTACTTTCTAATGCCACACAGATTTCCTGATTCCATATATATATATATATATGGAATATATATAATATAATTTATATAATATGGAAGCAATTTTTACATAGATATAAAGTAAAACTGTTTGAAATGTCAAAACACAGAGGCTCAACAGCTGTTGAGATTTTTCCCATCTTAATTTATACAGCATTTTCCCTCATATATTCTGTGCTGGCTAGTTTTGGGTTAACTTGACACACGGTGAAATTGTCTGAGAGGAGGGAACCACAATTAAGAAAATGCCTCTAAGCCATGTGTGGTAGTGCACATCTTAATCCCAGCGCTCAGGGAGGCAGAGGCAGGATCTCTGTGAGTTTGAGGCCAGCCTGCTCTACAAAGAGAGTCCAAGACAGCTACACAGAAAAACCCTGTCTCGGGGGGAAAAATGCCTCCATTAAGATCCAGCTGTAATGCACTTTTTCAATTAGTAATTGATGCAGGAGGGCCCAGTCCATTGTGGGTGGTGCCATCCCTGGACTGGTGGTCCAATCCAGGTTGAGCAAGCCATGAGGAGCAAGCCAGTAAGCAGCACCCTCCATGGTCTCTGCATCAGCTCCTGCCTCCAGGGTCCTGCCCTGCTTGAGTTCCTGTCCTGATTCCTTTGATGATGAACTGTGGTATGGAAGTGTAAGTTGAATAAACCCTTTCCTCCTCAGGCTGCTCTGGTCATGGTGTTTCATTGCAGAAATAGTGACCCTAACTGAGACACAGACCATCAAACACTTGAAAAACACTTACCTCCTTCACAATGTTGCTCACTTCATCAACAACAAAGGCAGTCTGTTAAGGAAGAAAACTTCGGTAAGTTTGGTTTAAAAGCTCTTTCTTCACAGCATCAATAAACGGACACTGCAATAATGAACGTGACTTGGCAATCGGGCTGTTGACCGTGCAGAGGAATGCACTGCTCAGAGCTGTCTGAGTGTCACACCGCACAAAACCCAAGCTTCACATCAAACTAGAATCCTCCCTCTCCTTCCCTTGAGCTGGCCGCCAGGACCATTAACCATGAGTCCTTCAACCTCCATACAAAGTAGCTGAAGAAATGTAAGTAAGTCACTTTAAAGGTGGAGCATTCTCTTCCATGAGGTAAACTAATGAGGACGTTAAACACGTAAAAGACTGGTGTGTGTTCCTCATTTTCTTAGCCCCGTACCCATACTCTTTCAGGATGAAGCACCAGCTAACTGGTGGGCAGCCAGCAAGGCCTTGCCCTAAGTAGTTTTCTTAGTCTCCTTTTCACATAATACTGGATTTCAGTGGTGTGGTGGGGTCCTGAAAACATCCTTAGCCAGACACTAGCCTGCCAGTGTGCTTTTTACATGAAAACAAATGAATTATTCCAAGTTCTGAGCACTGGACATGCCCTGGATAGCGCAGCCCCTGAGGCCTCTGCCTTCCCAGCAGAAAGGCAAGACAGTCCTGTTTTGTTGCAGACTTTTCTTGGCTGCTGACCACGGTGGGCCCTGCCCCTTTCTAGGATTGAGTAATATCCCTTTCTCTTCAAGAGGAACAAGAAATTGACTACCTAAAGCCATCTCACTTGTTAGAACCACAAGAAGTCAGTTGGAAACAAAACCAATGCAGTAAACTAGCGAAAACGTAGTATCTTAGTCAACTGAAAGAATCTTCCTAAGTGACTACAGTGATCCCAAACCACAAAGCAAAGTCCTTGCATAACTTTCCGTACAGTTAAAGTAAGAAAACAACAGAGGAGAAATTGTCCTGAAGGCAGTGGGCAGAGCCAGCTGCCACAAGACCAGTAAATGAGCTGAACCTGGGGAGTTAGGGGTGGGCAGGAAAGGCTCAGCTGAGAAGGCTGCTGGGTAAACAAGGGTGGGCAACCATCCTCCTGCAGCCAACAGCCTGTGGAAAGCGTAGTTCACCCTGTCCAGACACTTCCCTTCACAGAGGCCATAGTCAGCCAAGCTGGAATTCCAATGCAGTTTTCCGAGCTTTCTCTTCACTCCGCCATTCCTTTTCTATAAAGTCTGACTGGCTGCGGCTACAATATAAGCCAGTTTTCAGCCGTCCATCAGCTCACTCTAGCTGCGTAAGAGTCGTGGCTTGAGAGTATTCACTCGGTTTCCACCAGCATTCAAACACAGAACGATGATGACTGCCATGAAGTGTGTTGGGAAATTAGACCAAAACTGAAAGCTTCTGATAAATGTAAATGTCTTACTCTTCCCTCAGAATATTCCTAGTTTAAACTACACTTTAGAAATGTCAAAAGAGGAAATGTGACAGTTTTTTTTTTTTTAAACACACTGCGTCATTCATGGGACTTTATTGAGTTTCAACAAAGATTATTCAGGAAGAAAAAAAATGAGCAACTATTTTATAACTGGGACGTCCATTCAGCTGTTTCCCAAATGCCTGTCAGCACGAAGGAAAGGCCATTTTGACAACATACCATCAAGACGAGTGTCGCAGGCATACCTCCCCCACAAGAATGAGCAATCTCTCTACTATCGTCAACTGAGATGAAAAGCACCGGGTCGCTGTGGCCTGGGTGGGAGGGAGCGCCGCACTGAAGGCCAAGGTGCGGCACCGAGACAAAGGCAGGTAGTGTTCGCGTGTCTGTACTCGGCGGAGCGGCAGCCTAGACAGCAGACCCCCGCTGCAGGGGCCCGGAGCTGGCGCTGCGCGCCCGGGTCAGGATGCATGCCGCTGCGGGACCCGTCCCTTCCCAGCCCCGGCCCCGCTGCGGTGTACAGCGGCGCCCAAAGGGCGGAGTGATGTCATCCCCCGCCGTGAGTCCCACCGAGTCCACGAGCCCCGCGGGCACCGCCCACGCGGGAAAGACTCGGCGCGGCCCGCTGGGAACCGCCACCTCGCTCAACCTCGGCCCGGGTGGCCGTGGGCAGAAGCAGCTGCGTCTTCCCAGGCGGGGCCGCGTCGCGCCAGTATCTCGGCCGCCACACCCCCCCACGGCCCAGCCCGAGGTTACCTCCTCAGAGGCCTGTAAGTCTTCCATCTTTCCTCTAGCGCGTCTCCTTCGCCACCGAGTAGAGCGGACTGCGCAGGCGCGCTCGTGCCCCGCCCGCTTCTCCGCCCCCCGCGCCGAGGACCCTGACCACTACCAATAGCCGCCCTCGCTCTGCGGTCCCGCCCCTCTCGGTAAGGGCTCCGCCTCTCCTACCCCGCCCACCAGTGGCCCCGCCCACCGCCGAACCCCGCCTACTGCTCCTCTTAGGCCTCCAAGCAGCTGGGCGCGACTCTCGGCCCTCGGGAAGGTGGTTTCCAAAGCGAGCGAGCTGTCAGAGCTGCCTGACCTCTCTCTAAACTGTGGCAGCCCAAACCAAACAAAGATACAAAAGCCAGTCTAGGAGGACAGAATGTCCTGGCCTTCCCTCCTGCTGGCACTGTGGAAACTGAAAGTTTCAAACAAGCCCTGACAACTAGGAACAAATTGTAAAATTGTAGGGCGCACTGGTTGCTTCTCCGTGGGGGATCAGGATCAGGATACTCCAGCTATCTGAATGAAAGTTTGGAGGCGTTAGGTTTTCCACATACAGTCAGTGGGAGCGTTTCCTTTTAAAAGCCACTTTTTAAAACATTCTATGCAGAACATTTTGTAAAATACAGTCCATTCCCTAGTTGCCTTAACCAGCGTGAACTAGGCGCCGACTTGTTCCCACGGCAACCGAGCAGTTGCTCTGAGCTCTTCCACACAACTCTCTCCGCCTGGGCTGAGGTGTATGTGCCTGCTCGCATGTACTGGTTGCTTGAAGCATTGACTTGGAGTGTTCTGTTTTCGTCCTGCACTTAAAATTGAAGGGTTACTCCTGACTTCCTCAAAGCCCAGCTGTTGAAAACACCTGATTATAAGCGCCTCGGGAACATGCTTCGTTGGCTCCTGCAGTGACCTTTTTGTCTAAACTCAGGTTCAAGGTTGCTGTCTGTCACTTGGATCACAAGTGAGTCACCAAAATCTGGACCTTTAAGAGAGAACCTAACCTTTCCAAAGGCTCTGCCCCCTGTCCCATTCTATCCTGCCCAGAGCAGGAACGCTGAAGTTGTTAACTTGCAGACGTCTCCCAGGTGGTCTTCAGATGATTAAGCTTCAGCAGGTGTGGGCTCAGAAAGGCATTTTCTAACCGCTAGACCAATGGCAACCTCTCCATCCTGTACCCTGCCTCTCCTAGAATTCCTCTCAGCTTAAAAGGCTGTGTTTTGTTTTGGTTTGATATGGTTTGTTCGTTGGTTTTTTTGAGACAGCTTTTTTGTTTTGTTTTGTTTTGTTTTGTTTTTCTGTGTAGCCTTGGCTGTCCTGGACTCCCTTTGTAGACCAGGCTGGCCTCAAACTCACAGAGATCCACCTGCCTGCCTCTGCTTCCTAAGTGCTGGGATCACAGGTGTGCGCCACCACACCTGGCTGAAGGCTGTATTTATAATCACCTGTTTGTGGCACCTCAACACCTAGAATCTACAACCCATACAGGCAGGGTTCATTCCGCTCTGCTAACATCCTGGTTGGTTCACAGTAGGTACACAATTAAAACTTATTTAATGAAAGATTGCTGAGATGGCTCAGCAGTTAAAATGTTTTCAGGGCAAGCATGAAGACAGTTCCAGCTTGGGGAAACTAAGATGGAATCCTTGGAGCAAGCTGACTAAAGACAGTAGCCATTTGAGGAGCTCTGGGTTTGACTGAGTGGACCTCCCTCAAAAAATTAAGGTGGAAGAGTGATGGATGAAGAGTTTTGACGTCAACCTTGGGCCTCTGCACACAGGCTCATACATATGTGTATATGTATATGAGAATGTATGTATACACATGAAAACATACACATACACCACATACGTAAATATGAAAGGAAAAAAAAATCCCTTGACTGACTTCCCCAGAGGCATGAGCTCTGCCTCAGCTTAAATGGGGCCAGAACTGGGGAGCGCAGGGGTGACTCTAGATTGCTCTGTGCAGGTCATTTGTTGGAGCGAGGAGGCTTGCTGGGCAGGTTATTTGCTCTTAACCACTGGCCGCTTGCTCCTTGGGTTCTGGGCCCTATATTCCCTTTTAAGACACACAGTTATCTCTGAAGAAACTAGAAATAGAAGGAATGCGTCTCAATACTGTAAAGGTTACATATGACATATCTATGGCCAGCCTTACATATACCAAAGGGGGAAAGCCTGATAGCATTTCCTCCAAAATCAGGAAGAAGACAAGAGTGCCCACTCTCTCTATTCCTATATGATAAAGGGACCAAAGCCTTAGCCAGAAAAACAGACAAGAGAAATAAATAAAAGGCACAGTCAAAGGAAAGGATGAAGTCAAAATATCCCAGTTTATGGAGAATATAATGCTATATTTAAAAGACCCGAAAGACTCTACCAGAAAATGTTTAGAATGATAGACAACCCCACTTCCTGTAGCCTCAGCAACAGCAATTAAAACAAACAAGAAAACAAAAAACAAAAAAAAAACAGCCCTCCTAAAACAAAAGCAGAACGAATAAACAAACCCCCTAAAACAGCTTAAGGAGATGACAGACTTCTACAATGAAGAAATGTTAAGATGTATTATTTTGTGTATATGTGTATGTGATTCATGGGTTTATGTGCACCATGCATGTGCAGGAGCCCAAAGAGGCTCGACCAGGCATAATAGCATGTGGGCCTAGAGTAACAGGTGGTTATGAGGAACCAGCGGTGCTGGCAATCAACCAGGGTCCTCTGCAAGAGCAGTAAGTACTCTAAACTACTGAGCCGTCTCTCCAGCCCCTACAAGGAGAATTTTAAAACACTGAAGAAAGAAATTAAAGACACAAGATGGAAAGACTCCTTATGCTCATGGGTTTGCAGAATTAATAATGTGAAAATGGCTGCACTAATTATGAAAGTGATTTATGTATTGGTGAACTCTCCATCAAAATTCCACTGGCATTTGCCATATAAATAGAAAAAAAATTAAATTTCTTTGGAAAAAAAACCCAAAACACTCCATTGCCAAAGCAATACTGAGCAAAAAGAACCATCCTGGAGATGCTGAAATACCTAATTTAAAGTCACAGAGCCATAGTAACAAGAACTGGCAAACAAAAATAGACACATAAGGGCTGGAGAGACAGCTCCGACATTAAAGGCTAGGCTCACAACCGTAAAAATAAACAGATAATGTGAATAAAAAGACCCAGGAATAAACTGACAATGGTACAGCTCTCTGGCTTTTTGATGCTGAAATAAAAAACATCCATTGAGAAAAGACAATCTCTTTACTAACTGGCTCTGGAGAAACTGAACATCCCTGTATCGAAGAACAAAACTAAATCCATACCTCTCACCCTATGTAAAAATCCACTCTGAAAAAAATGGATCAAAGACCTTCATGTAAGATCTGAAACTACTAAAGGAGAACTCAGGAGAAACACTTTAAGATAGAAGCATAAGCAGAGACTTTTTGAAAAGGACCCCAATAGCTCAGGGAAATAAAATTAAAACTTTGCATAAAATTAAAATCTTATGCACATCAAAGGAAACAAGCCACCAAAAGAGAGCCGACAGAATTAAGTAGTTGGTGTTAGTTACACATTTGGCTGGAAGGGATTGCTATCTAAAATATATAAAGAACTAAAAAACTTGAACACCAGCCCCCAGTAATCAACCAGTACATGGGCAAATGAAAAGAACAGATACTTCTCAAATTATGAAGTCTCCCCTTGGCAAATAAATACACCAAGAAAATGCTTAATATCCTCAGACACTAGGAAACTGCAAATCAAAACCACATCGAGATGCCATCTCACCTGTGCCAGGATGGCTATCGCTTTAATTAATTAATTATTTATTTTAGGGTTTGCTTATTTCTTTGCTGCTGCTGTTTTTTGAGATGGGGTTTCTCTGTGTACAAGAGCCCTGGCTGTCCTGTACTAGCTTTGTAGACCAGGATAGCCTCGACCTCAAAGAGATCCACCTGCCTCTGCCTCCCGCATGCTGGGATTAAAGGTGTGCTCTACCATGTCCTGCTTAATTTTATTTTATTTTTTAAAAGAATGGGTATCATTAAAAACAACCACAACCACAGTCCCAGGGAGCTGAGCCTCCGTGAGGTTCATCTGGGTCAGCCTGCTTCTCTGGGTCTGCTTCAGAAAAGTATAGCCACAATTTTTCTCCTCTTCAGTCTTTTCTCTCAGATAAGTGTGCTTATAACCTCCCCAACTAATGCAACGGGCTTCTGTGCTCTTTTCCTAACGTGGTCCCTCCACCGTGTGGCAGGCTGATGCCATGTGGCTGACCTCTGGGGTCACTTAGCTTTTCCATCCCACTCTTCTCTGGGCAGCTTGGAGATGTAAGGCTTATCTGCCCTGGGGTTTTCTTCTTAAACTCTAACAAATTGTCCTCAAACTTCAGAACTAACTAAGTAATGAATAGATTGAGCACTGGCGAGGATGTGGGAGCACCGGTAGGATGTAAATCAGTTAAAAACACTACAAAGAAGGCTATACCACTTCTGGGAAGACAGCTGAAGGAATCTGTTCCCACACTACGGAGACACCTGCTCCTCCAAGCCAGCGGAGCCACGCCTTACAGCAGTCGCATTATGGAAATTAGGCATCCATCAACCAATGAATGGATAGAGGAAATACCTAATACTCACTGAGGTTTATTTGGCCATAAACAAGAGCGAAATTATGTCATTTTTCAGGAAAACTGGATGAAATTGGGGATTGCCATGCTGAGTGAAATAAAACAGGCCTCTAAAGGGAAATGACAAATACCATGTGTTCTCTCACATGTGAGAGAAAATTTTATATATACCTCAAAGTACATATACATAACCACACATACAGATAACATGAAAAAAGAATGGCCACTATTCAGGAAGAGAAAGAAATAATGGAGTCAAATTATACGATACAATTGAACAAAAGTGTCCTCATGAAATCCATTGCTTTGTACAAATACATGCTAATGAAAAAAAGAAATCAAAACCTTGTCACACTAGGCACTGAATTAAAAATAAAGTTGCCTTCTTACTATCTGGCTTCAAGTCACCTATTCCAGTGGACCAATCCTGTCCCTAGTCCTCAGA